GACAACACAGAACAAGCATCAGCTCACAAATTACCTCAGACCAGCTCCCAAACCTCTCCTTGGGTTCTGCCATCAGGTTAGATCTTTTTTTTTTTTTTTTAAAGATTTTATTTATTTATTTTTTCCCTCCAAAGCCCCAGTAGATCGTTGTATGTCATAGCTGCACATCCTTCTAGTTCCCGTATGTGGGACGCGGCCCCAGCATGGCCGGAGAAGCGGTGCGTCCGTGCACGCCCGGGATCCAAACCCGGGCCGCCAGCAGCGGAGCCCGCGCACTTAACCGCCAAGCCACGGGGCCGGCCCCAGGTTAGATCTTTAATGAAAGGAAAACAATGCCCTCATGGGATGGGGCAAGGAGAGTAGCAAAATATGGCCAGATATTCTGAGATCCCATGTTCTCTAGCCAGGTCTGGGGATATAATCCTTCTGGCTTGTTTCCCTCCTTCTTCCTGATTCCTTGGTGACTATCCCCAGAGAAATGAGACTCAAGGGGTCGGAAACTGAGAGAGACCAAGCAGTGTGAGTCGGTCAACATTCACATGGTAACACTTTGGGGGAGAGCCTATGCTCTTTCCCACTTCTGAGTCTTCACATCTTGGCCCCTTCCTAGTCCCGTGTTTCTCAAGCTGAGACCTGAGGGAATCTACAGATCCATGAATGTCTTCTCTATGGACTTCTGAGTCCTCTTATAAAACTTTGTGTTTTCATTTTGATGGGTCATCTTTTAAAAAATAAAAATATTTTCATTCTGGATGATTTGGGTTACTTTTTTTAGGGGTTTCGATGCCTATGTTTGTATTTGTTTCTACAGTCACAATGGTGACAAGGGATCACCTAAAGAGGAAGTTGATCATTTAATTAAGCTTCTCAGTATGGGGTCTATTGGTGTGTTGTCTGAGATTCAGTTCTAACTTATTCTTTCTTTCTTTCTTTATTTTTTTGAGAAAGATCAGCCGTAAGCTAACATCCACGCCAATCCTCCTCTTTTTGCTGAGGAAGACTGGCCCTGGGCTAACATCTGTGGCCATCTTCCTCCACTTTATATGGGACACCGCCACAGCATGGCCTGACAAGCGGTGCATCGGTGCGCGCCCGGGATCCGAACCCAGGTTGCCAGCAGCAGAGCACACGCACTTAACCGCAAAGCCACAGGGCCGGCCCCTAACTTATTCTTTAAATGGCAGCAATAATGTCTCATCCTCAAGGAATATTCCCTCATCCCTCATTCGCTGTCATAGCATCTCACACTTCTTCATTACTGTAATGACTTATTCTCCTTGGCCAGACTGTAAGTTCCATGAGAGCAGGGACTGTGTCTGTCTCATTCATCCATGTATCCCCAGTTCCTAGCATGCTGCCTGGAACAAAGCAGGTGCTCAATAAATATTTGTGGAATGAATGAATGGAAAAGGATATGAAACACAAAAGGAACAGAGACAAGGTCCCTGCTCTGTAGAGTCTGTTGGAACCGAAACAAACAACACAAAACAATAAGAGAACATTACAAATCAATACATTTGTAGCAGAGTACAGTTTCTTTCAACTGAGAGAAGCTGGTCTTCAAAGGGTCATTGGAGTGGCCCTTTCAATTAAGACACACATAATACAAACTAGCAATCTTTGTCCAAGGATTAGGGTGTAATCAAATCTTTTGTGACTAACTCTAGACTTCTTGCCTTTCCCAGAAATCCCAGAGGAAAAGGGAAGAGGGAGGGAGAAAAGGTGGATTAATTTTCACTAAGAGCCCAGGGATTCCAAGAATCAGAGTATTTAGCCATAGGGGGAGAGGTTGGCAGTAGACTAAGGTTACTTTGGCACAGAACTCAGAAATAAAACTTGAGGAAAAAGTCTAGGTTAGTGATCTGAGGCTCAACACAAAACAGGGAGAGGACTGTTGTATCACAAGTCAGTGGCTAATGATGAAACTACCTCCTCTCCTGGCTGTCCTGGCATGGTTCTTGTAGTCTGGAGTACAATGGCAGGGCTTGACAGAGCAAGCTGAAGAGGGAGTCAAAGTGAGGTACTGAGAGTGGGATTCTCCTTTCCTGAAGAGCTGTGGTGGCCCCGCCTCTGTAGGGAGCTAGACAAGCAAGACTGAATCACAAGAGGGACCTACATCTTTTATTAGGAGGAGGAGGATCGGTTTTCCACTGATACACCCAGAGGAGCAGGTTGTACCAGTTATATGTGCAAAATATAGGACAAATTGAAGGGGCACAGAGCAAGGGGTGAAGAGAATGGGATGAGGTTATTCAGAATAATGCTCTTCAAAGTGTGGTCCATGGGCCTGCATCATCATCATCCAAGACCTTGGTAGAAATGCAGAATCATAGGCCCCATCCCAGACTTCCTAAATCAGAATCTGCAATTTAACAAATTCCCCTAGGTGATATGTATGCATATCAACGTTTGAAAAGCACCGTCTTACATTTCTTGAGGAAGAAGAACTTGAAAGGCAATAATGAATAAGAGGGGAAAGATAAGGAGAAGCCTCAGGTGGTGCCCTAAGGGAAGAGAGCCGCTTGGGGAGAAAGAGGCCTGGAGTTATCTTGGAGCACCCTGGATAGAATGGGCGGAGGAGCAGACGGGTTGACTCTGGTTGGGAGCCGCGAACAAGGCGAATAGCACAGGCGCACCTCAGGTCGCCAGATAAGAAGACCGGTCCGCTGCCGCTAGCATTCACCACCAGCCCCACCAGCCCCCACTCTACCCTTATTCGCCCCAATCTCCCATTCCAGGACTTCTCCAGACTTTGATTCTCAATAACCCGGCCGGCCCGACCTCGCCTACTTCAGTTCGATTCTGCCCAGTTCGGTTGCTAAGGCCTGGAGCTTCCTGGTTGAGGAGGGAAATGACGTCACGTCCAAAGGCGGGCTAACCAGACTCCTTCCTTCTCCCGATTGGCTGTCAGGAATTTGACTAGATTCTATGTCGCGCGGTTTCCAGTGTTAGCTGTCAGTGTCTCTGCCCCGCTGCCCTGGCCCCCCGGCCGTCGTCTCCGCTTGGGGCAGGACTCCGAGGACAGTACTCAGTAAGCACTTAGCTTCGGGAGGAGAGGTGATTCGAATGGTCCGGCTGTTGCCATCAGTCTAGGCGCTGCGGCTGCCCAGGTAGTTTTTGACTCGATCGGGTATCCGTAGTTGGGGCGGCTGCCCGAACCGCAGAGAATTGTGGAATTTATAGTTCTGGATTAGTTCTGGGTGGAACGGAACCTCGAGCCGGACAGAGATTTTTGTAGGGAAACAAAAATAAAATGAGGACTTTAAGGACCAGGGACCCGAGTCCAAGAAGGACCAGAAAGGACGAGAAAGGAGTCTAAATAAGAATCCTGCCATTAGCATTCGTTTGATTTTCTTTTCAGGTGCTGACCTGAACCTGGTCCATCCCTTTCCGACCAAAACTGTTCACCCACGGTGGAAGGGAACAGGCAGCCATATGGAGACACCACCAGTCAATTCAATGGGAGAGAAGGACACCTCTCAACAGCAACAACAATGGGAAAAGAACTCCCGGGAGAACTTGGATTCCACTACTCAGATTAGGCAGCGGCCCCGAGACTCTCCCACTGAAAGCCTTGAGCTGACAGTGAGCCCTGATCCAGCCAGCCAAATTCTAGAGAATCCTCAGGGGACTGAAAAACTGGCCTCTGGACTTGAAGGAGACTCTGATAAGTCTCATGGATCAGCCGGTGAGAGGCTAGAGCCCCTTCAAGCTTCTGATCTCTGGTACTGTCCCGATGGGAGCTTTGTCAAGAAGATCATAATCCGTGGCCATGGCTTGGACAAACCCAAGCTGGGCTCCCGCTGCCGGGTACTGGCTTTTGGGTTTCCTTTTGGGTCGGGGCTGCCAGAGGGCTGGACAGAGCTAACTATGGGATTAGGCTCATGGAGGGAGGAAACTTGGGGGGAGCTCATAGAGAAATGCTTGGAGTCCATGTGTCAAGGCGAGGAGGCAGAGCTTCAGCTTCCTGGGCACTCGGGACCTCCTGTCAGGCTCACACTGGTCTCCTTCACTCAGGGCCGGGACTCCTGGGAGCTGGACGCCAGCGAGAAGGAGGCCCTGGCCAGGGAAGAACGTGCAAGGGGCACAGAATTATTTCGAGCTGGGAACCCTGAAGGGGCTGCCCGATGCTATGGACGGGCTCTTCGGCTGCTGCTGACTTTACCCCCACCTGGCTCTCCAGAACGAACTGTCCTTCATGCCAACCTGGCTGCCTGTCAGTTGCTGCTAGGGCAGCCCCAGTTGGCAACCCAGAGCTGTAACCGGGTGCTGGAGCGGGAGCCTGGCCATTTAAAGGCCTTGTATCGAAGGGGAGTTGCCCAGGCTGCCCTTGGGAACCTGGAAAAAGCAACTGCTGACCTTAGGAACGTGCTGGCTGTAGACCCAAAAAACCGGGCTGCCCAGGAGGAGCTGGGAAAGGTGATCATTCAGGGGAAGAAACAGGATGCAGGGCTGGCTCAGGGTCTGCGCAAGATGTTCTGCTGATTAAAAGTTAAACCTTGAAAAAGACAAGAACCTGTGAATTGTGGTCTATGCTGTGAGATTTTTGAGGGGCCCAGAGGGAGGTTTCAGCCCTTATCCCAGTCCCAGCTTCTGCCTTCCTAAGGGAGGTAAGAATGGTCTCAGTGCGCCTCTTTCTCTTTTTTACCTTTAAGAAGCCATACGGTCACGTGTGCTACGTTTTATGGGGCTTATCCAACTCCGAAGATGAATAGAAGCCGTCTAAACTTCTAAATTTAGGACTGGTTGGGGGAGATGGCGGACCTTTAAATCCTGGGAACTACGTTTCCCAGGGTCTGTCTCACTTGGTCCTGTCTGGCGCATGCGCAAACTTTACAGCCCGGTGCTGTGGAAGTGTCGTCTTCCTTCTGCTGTGCTCCCATTGGCCAGGCCTCTACACCCGCCTCTTCTATTGATTCATGTGCTCAGCACCCAGGTCTCTTACTGGTAGGTAGAGCTTCTGGGACGCCCCCTTTTTTTTAAGAGTCAACTGATTCGTTGATGATGGAGAGAGGCGGGCCTCGGAAACTGTCTCATCTTTGGGGGGCGGGGGAGAAAAAATGGCGGAGCTGATGCTCCTCAGCGAGATTGCGGACCCAACGCGTTTTTTCACCGACAACTTGTTGAACCCGGAGGACTGGGGTCTGCGGAGTGAGGCCTCGGGGAGGGGAGAGGGCTGTGGCATACTATGCTCCTGAGGCACGTGGGAAGGAAGCGGAGCCCCAAAGAGGAAGGCTGGGCAAATACGGAACCCACCATCCGAAGGAGGGCGGAGCAGGGGGGCTCGCTGTGCTTTCGGGGGATGCGGGAGTTGGGGAAGACCTCCGCTCCCCGCGGAAATGTCCAGTTGTTCTGGGCTTGGGGAAGGAGAGGCTGAAGTTCTTTGGCTGTATCAGTTTTCAAGTGGGCGGGCGGTGGGTCTGGCCCAGCCGAGTCAATGAAGGATGGGGCGAGGGCTGTGTGTGGATCTGTAGGCTGGGGCACCGGACAACCTCCCTCACACTCCGCACCTCTTGTAGACAGCACCTTGTATACCGGCCTGGATGAAGTGGCCGAGGAGCAGACGCAGCTCTTCCGTTGCCCGGAGCAGGATGTCCCGGTATTGCTCCCCCGGCCTTGTCTCTAACCCTTGGTGGGCGAGAGTGGTCCCAGAATCAGGACTCCTCCCCAGGCCAGAGCTCATCTGGAGCCGTCCCTTCTTCCTTACACTCCTGCCGTCTAATATCCCGCCTTATTCAGTTTGGCAGCAGCTCCCTGGACGTGGGGATGGATGTCAGCCCCCCTGAACCCCCCTGGGACCCCCTGCCTATCTTCCCAGGTAAGAAATCCTTTGTGATTCCCTCATCCTTCCAGAAACCCTCATCTTCCCATTGTTTCCCAGAAACCTCGTAATTTCCTGTATTCTCACACCTCCTCTGCACGAGTGCACTCCTCTCCCCTTTCATCCCTCACAAGTGTTTCTTACCCTTTGCCCCAGTGAGGGGTCCTCACGCCAACGTCCATGGACACGTTTTGGGCTCTTCTCAGGCTCTGCTTCTTAGTTATGTTCTAACCCCGTTTCCTCCAGATCTTCAGGTGAAGTCTGAGCCATCCTCCCCCTGCTCTTCCTCCTCCCTCAGCTCTGAATCATCACATCTTTCCACAGAGCCCTCCAGCCAGGTGAGAGAGCCATCTCCCTCCTACTCTCTGTGGCAGGGACTCTGCTCCATCCACTTTACCCATAGGTGCTGAGGAAATGATTTGTGTGCTATGAGTCATGGGGATGAGGTCTTCCCTGCCTCTGCCATTTCTTTAGTATCCTCATTTTCCACATCTCCAGTGTGGTTGTCTAGAAGTGAAGATGGAATCTTTTTAATATACAGAGATATGTGGCAGCTGTGGTGGAGCTGGGAAGAAGAGAATTATTAACTGCTGAGAATTCTGGAACTGTTGTTGCCCAAGTTGTCCACTCTAAGACCATATTTGAAATCGTGAGACTTCATCAACTCTCCCAGGAATAAAGTAGAAAGACGGAACAGGGGCCAGAGACAGCTGAGGGAGGTGCTCAGCACCATTCAAACCAGAATGTCAATAACTGGGGGTTTGTAAGCTCTAAAGCTTTGTTCTTACTCTCACTCTCAACACCTCTCTTGTTTTCTTTTCTTCTTTCTGCCCTCCTGCTTCACCCCCACTCTCACCTAGGGCCCTGGTGTAGGGGAGGTGCTGGTTGTGAAGACAGAGTCCTTGGCACCCCCACTCTGCCTCCTGGGAGATGACCCAACATCCCCATTTGAAACCATCCAGATCAATGTGGGCCCCACCTCTGATGATCCCTCAGGTAATAACAGCCTGTACCAGCCCCAGGCTTTACCAAGGTGGATTTTGTGTGTGTGTGTGTGTGTGTGTGTGTGTGTGTGTGTGTGTGTGTGTAGATTGTTGCAGGGGTGGTGCAGGGAGCAGGACAGGGAGGAAAGGGTGGGGAGGGGAAATGGCAGATAACCAGGAGAGAGGCCAGGAGGGTAGGGAGAATTTTAAGAAACCACAGCAAGGGCAGCACTGAAGAGATGGCGATGATTTTTCTTTTTTCTTGTTCTTAGTGTCCTGTTGTGTGACTTAACTTCCTGTTGCTGTGCATTTTTTAAAAACTGTGGACTATTTAAGACATATTTATTTATGTTACTCCCCCCCAATGTTTTATTATAAAATTTGTCAAACGTACAGAAAAGTTGGAATACTAGATTCTACAATTACCATTGTTTGTGCTATTTTTTAAGTGTTATCAGGTTTATTTATTTTTATATGTTTATTCAGTAAACATTTTTGAGCACCTACTCCATGCCAGATACTGGACAGGGTGCTGGGGATGCAAAGAAGAGGAAGACTTGACCACCACCCTGACTTGAGAGTCTTATAGTGTGATGGGGGAGAAAGACAAGTACCAGTCAATATAGGAGTGGTAATTTGAGGAAAGAGATCATCTCAGGGAGCCGTGAAAGCTCATAAGAGGGGGCATCTCACCCGATTGGGGCTGGATCAGGGATGCGCTCCTGGAGGAAGGGTTTCTTGAGTTGAGTTTTGAAGGACATGTAGAAATTAGCCAGAAGAAGAATGTGGGAACTGGAGTGTGTATGTGTAGGGAACCTGCATCTCTTCAGAGTGGAGTTGAGGAGGGAGTGGGGAATGGTGGAGTTGCAGAGGCTGCAGGGCCAGGTGGGAATCCTGCTAAGGGACTCTTAGTTTTTATCTTTTGGGTAGTTGGGAGCCTTTGAAGAATCAAGCAGGAGAGCAATATGATTAGGAAGATGACTTTGGTGGCAGAGGAGAGAATAGGTTGCAGAGAGGCCGGACTGGAGGCGGGAAGAGGAGGATCAAAGAAGAGGCTCATGCAGTTAATCAAGTAAGATATTTGGACGCTGAGAAGAAGGCAGAAAGAATGAAGTAGATCGATGAGTTGCAATGACCTCCTGGGCATGGGGAAGAGGTGAGAGTCGAAGAGGATGCCTAGGTTTCTGGCCAGGGCAGCCATCCAGTGGGCAATGGTACCATTCACTGGAAAGAGACTGCAAGAGCAAGAGCCCTCTGTCAGGGAGGATGGTGACGTCAGTGTTGGACATTGTTGATTTCAAAGCGCCTTCATGGTTTCCTGGCACTGCCTCTCTCGTTGAACTCCAACCAGAGGCTAGAAGGCAAGGCAGTTTGATGATCCGGTCCATTCATGTTTTCCTCCTGGGCCTCAGAGCAGGGCAAGGAAGGATGGAGAGTGGATTTGGAGGGACAAACGGATCATATCCAACATATTATAAAAAGTTACAAAGAAGACAAACAAAATAAGGATTGAAAAGCCTTTAATAGCAAAAAGATTGTTGATGACTCTGTAAAGGATAGTGTTACTGGAGTCAGGTTCTCCCCTATTATTTAGGTATTTTTTGAGAGCCTGTGCTTTACCCATCACTTTGATAGACATGAAGCATAAGACATAGTCCTTGCTTTTGGAGAGTCTCGTGAGGGGTATAACACATGGTTAATAGCTCAAATAGTGGTCACCTCTGAGGAGAGGATCTGGGTGGCTGGTGGACAAGGAAGGGAAGGAGATTCAGTTTTCACTGAATTCCCCTTTGTTCCTTTGGAATTTTGTCTCATATGAGTGTATTACCTATTCAAAAATGTAAATTGATTTGAAATTTTAAAGTAGCAATATTGGTGATCGCATAATTAAGTAGCAAAATGAATAGTATGGACCAGAGGTAGCAGCGGACTGTTGACCTTGGGGCTGAATCTGGCTCTTGGATGGGTTTTATTTCACCTACATGGGGCAATCAACAAATTTTCTAGATAGATTTAACAGAGGTTGTGAAGGCTCAGAGGTGACTGAGGCTTTTCAATTTGGTGCCTGGGAGGTTGACAGATGTAGGAAGAGAATTTGTGTGCAGGGACAAGCGGTGAGCCCTGTTTAAGGCCGGGTGAATTTGAGTGAACAGTGGGTCATGAGAATGGAAGTGACCAACAGGGAGCTTGGGAGTCAGGATCAGGGTGCAGGGGAGCAGTCAAGGGTAGAGATGCAGACTTGGCAGTTGTCAGCATGGAGATGCGTGATATCATTGGGCCAGGATGAGGTGGATATCCAGCCAGATAGGAGTTTGGGCCCATATGAATGCTCGAGGCTCCCCCTGCTTGGGCCTCCTCTAAGTGAATGGACAAGATCTGTGAGGAAGAAAGAGGGAAAGCAGAAGGGCAAGGATAGCCTTGAGGAAAACTGAGGAGTGGTTAGAAAAATGAAGGAGCCACTGAAGGAGAAAGGCAGTACTGGGTGAAGAGGTAGGAGAAGAGCCAGCAGATTGGCAGCCCATGGCTCCTCCTCCTGGCTTGCCTACCTGGGGCCAGAATAGTTTTGTTTTCAGGTACAAGGAGAAATGACCGTGTCTCCCATTTCCCCGTTTTAACCTTCTTCTCCTTCAGTATTTGTCTGATCTCCAGCTCTTTGTCTCATTCCACTACCCCACAGATGTCCAGACCAAGGTAGAACCTGTCTCTCCATCTTCTTCTATCAACTCTGAGACTTCCCTGCTCTCAGCAGAGTCCCCCAACCAGGTGAGCATCAACTTCCCTTCCTCCCTCCAGGCACTCCAGTGAGTTCCTCCTGCCTCTCAGGGGTATGAGAGCTTTCTCTTCTTCAGCTCCTCCTCCACAGCCTTCCTGACTCACATGTCTTCTGGAATGCCTATAGGCTTTTATAGGAGAGGAGGTGCTGGAAGTGAAGACAGAGTCTCCATCCCCTCAAGGGTGTCTCCTGCGCGATGTCCTAGGCCCCCCACTTGGAGCTGTCCAAATCAGCATGGGCCCGTCCCCCGATGGCTCCTCAGGTAATGGGGCCTCCTGACACCTGGGGTCCCTGGCAAGAGGCCAGTAGTCCTGACATTCCTTCTTTCCTTCCTTTCACTTTCCTTTAGGCAAAGCCCTGCCTGCCCGGAAGCCACCACTGCAGCCCAAACCTGTGGTGATAACCACTGTCCCGATGCCACCTAGAGCTGTGCCTCCCAGCACCACTGTCCTTTTGCAGCCCCTTGTCCAGCCTCCCCCAGGTACTAAAGAAGGATAGAAGGAGATGGGCTAGATCGACCTTTTCAGGGAGCTCACAGCCATTGAGGCTCCCAACCCTTGGGTGCTCAGGTGTGGGTGTGGACACAAGGACCCCACCTGACTTACAGCCCTGTGACCTCTCCTGCTCACTCTAGTGTCCCCAGTTGTCCTCATCCAAGGTGCTATTCGAGTCCAGCCTGAGGGGCCGGCCCCCCCTGCTCCAAGGCCTGAGAGGAAGAGCATTGTGCCAGCTCCTATGCCTGGAAACTCCTGTCCACCTGAAGTGGATGTAAGTATTAGAGAGGGGAGGAGCGGGGCTAGTAATGGGAAGGGAAGAGGAAGATCTGTCATGGGAGAGAACTGTGGAATGAAGAGGGAGCAAAAAATGAGGAAGCAGACCTATAAGATGATCCTGAAGTTCAGAGTGAATCCCTGTTTATATATGAGTGTAAACTCCATGTAGTTTTAGGATCCTTAGGTTTGCTGTCATTGCAGATGATTGGAGAAATGGGGGTGGTCTCAGTAAATCAAAAGCAGGGGAGTTGTACTGTCTTATGGTTTTGGCAGTAGTTGGAAGAGGGAGGCTGCTTCCTAGAAGAAAACTAGGTAAACTGTTCTTTAATTAAAGCAAGGTTAGACTTTGGGCTGTAAAAAAGGAGAATTGAGAAGAAGGAAGTCGACCCACCAAGGAAAGGAACCAAAATGGAGGATGAATTTCTTCTACAGTCTAACTTCTCTCAGCTCTGAGGAACAGGGGCAGGGAGTGGTTGAGAGAAGGGCCCTTTCCCTGAAATGTTTTAGTAGAGAGGAAGAACCCTCCTCTGGCTGTGTAGGTAGAGATCACAAAGGCAGGAGAATGGCCCATGGGAGCTTTGGGTAATCAGTCCCTGGAGTTGGGGGACATGGTTCCCCTCTCCTTCCCATCTTGCATTCTTTTCTTGACCCTCTGGGTGCGTAGGCAAAGCTGCTGAAGCGGCAGCAGCGAATGATCAAGAACCGGGAGTCAGCCTGCCAGTCCCGGAGGAAGAAGAAAGAGTACCTGCAGGGGCTGGAGGCCCGGCTGCAGGCCGTGCTGGCTGACAACCAGCAGCTCCGCCGGGAGAATGCTGCCCTCCGGCGGCGGCTGGAGGTCCTGCTGGCTGAGGTAAGCCTAGGCTGCCCTGGGAGACCAGCAGGGATGTAGGTTCCTTGGGATGATTCACTCTCTCTCTTGTCTCTTCTCTGTACCTTAGAACAGTGAGCTCAAGTTAGGGTCTGGAAACAGGAAGGTGGTCTGCATCATGGTCTTCCTTCTCTTCATTGCCTTCAACTTTGGGCCTGTCAGGTGAGACCCTCCTTGCCTTCCCAGAACCTTCTGGGTGGAGCCTACCCTCAAAGCCACCTGATTGCCAGCTTTGGCACAGTCCCTTTCATTCTCCTTACACCAGACAGCTCTGGTGTCTTTAGCACCGATGGTGTATCCAGCCAGTCCCTACTGTTCCATCATTTCTCTCATAAATGGTATGTCCTGGGATAGATGGTGGTGAGAACAGTGATAAGATAGTGACTGACTGTTAAGTGCTTACTGAGTTCCAGGCTCTAGGTTAAGCAGTCTCCTTGTCTCATGGTTCCTGGCCCTATGAGGTAGGCACCGTTCTCATTCCCATGTTACAGATGAAGAGAGTCAGGCTTATAGAACAGATTGGAACCCAGGCAGGCCGTCTGCAGAGCCCTTGCTCTTAACCAGCCTCTCAGTAAAGCTGGAATTCTTCCTTGTGCTCTGTCCTTCCTTATCCACAGCATCAGTGAGCCTCCTTCAGCTCCCATCTCTCCTCGGATGAGTGGAGAGGAGCCTCGACTCCGGAGACACTTGCTGGAGTTCTCAGCACAAGAGCCGGTTCATGGAGTTGACCCCCTCCAGGGCTCCTCCCAGAGCCATGAGGAGCCCCAGCCCAGCCCCACAAGCCGGCCAAGCTTCAGGTAAGGTCTCTTTTGGGGGTGCTGAGTGTGTCTTCTTCCCCAAAGTTACCTTTTCTTTTTGAGGGGAGCCAGAGTTGTTCTCTCACCATCATTGCCTTCTCTGTTGATGGGGGCACGCTGGGCAGCCTCGGATCATGGCCTCCTCCCTGCCTCACCCAGGAACTTGACAGCCTTCCCTGGGGGCGCTAAGGAGCTGCTACTGAGAGACCTGGACCAGCTCTTCCTCTCCTCTGATTGCCGACACTTCAACCGAACCGAGTCCCTGAGGTGTGGGAGATTCACAGCTGAGGCATCTTCCCTGTCGTTCTGAGGCCCCTTTCCAGCCAGCCTGGCTGTCCCTGTGTGCTGAAGCACCAGCTGTCCTTGCCCTGTCTTCTTCCTCCTGTATGCGGGCAAGGAAAGTGGAGGCCTTGGCCTGGCATGGAGGTGTTACCCCTCCTCTGCTTCCCCAGGCTTGCAGACGAGCTGAGTGGCTGGGTCCAGCGCCACCAGAGAGGTCGGCGGAAGATCCCCCAGAGGGCCCAGGAGAAACAGGTAGGAGGGGGTGGGGCTGGTTCAAGGAAGGCCACTTGAAGACAAGGGCTAAGTGTCCTAGGGACTCTGAGTGGGCATCTTCTGGAGGTTTGAGGGATTGTTTGGGGGAAGTGGAAGGGTGGGTGTGAGGTGGCATCAGCTTCCAGGGGCTGTCTGTCTCTTTCCCTTTTCCCTTCACCCTCTTCAAATCCTTAGATACTTCTCCTTCCAGAAGTCTCAGCTACGGAAGAAGTCGCCTCCAGTTAAGGCAGTCCCCACCCAACCCCCCGGGCCCCCAGAAAGGTGAGTCTGGGGGGCTGCTTACTTACTAAGTGAGTTTCCCCTCTGAAGAGCTATACCCCTGAGCTGTCCTGTGCTTGTCATCATTGCCACCAATGGCATTATGTCTCCCTCATCCACTGGGGGTCTCCTGTCTCTTTTTCTTTCATCCTCTCCCCTCTTCCCCAGTGGGAAGTGGGCTGGGCTTAGTTCCTCCCAATCGCGTTTCCCCACCTGCCTAGGGATTCTGTGGGCCAGCTGCAGCTGTATCGCCACCCAGACCGTTCCCAGCCAGAATTCCTGGATGCAATCGACCGACGGGAAGACACATTTTATGTTGTCTCCTTCCGAAGGGTGAGTTCCTCCTCGTGCCCCGTCCCCGTCACCCTGGGTTCCCCAGCAGTCTCTCTTGAGGTTCAGACTGTAGAGTAGGGCCAGGGATCCTGTTGGCATCTTTTTCTCAACCCGCCCAGCCTGGCCCCTCTGTTTCCTAGGACCACTTGCTGCTCCCAGCCATCAGCCACAACAAGACCTCTCGGCCCAAGATGTCCCTGGTGATGCCTGCCATGGCCCCCAATGGTAATTCTTACCCTGCCGGGTGTGGGGAGGGATCCTGAAATTGAGGAAGGGGGAAGTTCTGATAGGGAGACCCAGCATGAGGAGCTGAGGGGGGAACCAAGGAGAGGAGTGGGGCGTTCCTGAGAGATGCTGGATGCACAGGTAAGAAGAAGCGGGAAATGGGAGAGAGAACAAAATGCAGGAGACTGATGGGAGGAAGACAAGGGTGTGGGACCTCCTTTGGTGAAGGTGTTTGGGTAGGTGCTGGGCAGAGTGGGGTAGGCTGGGAACCTGCCAGACTCTTACCTCCTTTTTTTCTCTTGATGTCCTCTCCTCTGTGACCTCACACTCATCAATGTCATTTTCTTTTCCTACCCCTATCCTTTGCTCTGCACCAACTCCATCCCCACCTCGCAATTAACCCTCACTGTGGATCTGCCTCCTCACCATTGCCCTGTCCTCCCTCTTCTCTGACGCCTCCTCTCTGTCTGCCCCCCCTTCTCTTCTTCCTTAACTCTCCCCTTCTCACAGAGACCCTGTCAGGCCGGGGGGCCCCAGGGGACTATGAGGAGATGATGCAGATCGAGTGTGAGGTCATGGACACCAGGGTGATTCACATCAAGACCTCCACGGTGCCCCCCTCGCTCCGAAAACAGCCGTCCTCGACCCCGGGCAATGCCACAGGTGGCCCCTTGCCAGCTTCTGCAGCCGGCCAGACCCACCAGGCCGCCCATCGGCCCCTCTACCTCAATCATCCCTGACCTCTGTGACTCACACTGACTTAGAACTAGAGGGGCACTGGGTAGGGGTGACCAAGTGGGACCGTTTCTAATTTCCCTGATCCCTGGGCTTGGGGCAATTGGTAAAGAATGAGAGGGTGTGGGGGTTAAGCACTTATCTGGAGGTGAAGGGATTCACCTCTCTTCTCACCTCTTTTTGGAATATAGGGCTCCTCGCATTTCTCGGAACCCCTAGTCCCTGCTTCTTTCTTTGAGGGTATGAGTGAGGTTAAGTCTTGGGGCAGATGGGCTCCTGCACCCTCTTTATTCTTTGTTTCTTTGTCTGGGAGGGTGGAAGTGGGAGTTTAGTCCCCAGGCGGGACAAGGGACGTTTTTACATTTTGGAGCTAGTTACTGGGAGTAAAGGAGGGTGGTGGAGGGAGATCAGGTGTATGTTTGTGCATATCTTCTTTTTTATTGTTAAATAAACAACTTGGAGGGAGTTGAAGGAATAGTGGCTACCTTCCTGGCTCTTGATGGGGAATTTGGGGGAAAGTGGCTTCTTTAGGGCCAGTACATCAGAAAACCAAGCACTAAAGATGTAGCTGGCTCTGGGGTGGGGTGGGTATGGTATCAGAGACCTCGTGTCATCCCCTTGAACCCGCCCCTGCAACACTGGGGTATGTCTGTGTCTAGCAGGGGGATGGGGGAGGGATGTCCCATGGCGTGACAGCCCAGAGAATACAGATCCCTGGAATGTATCTGAGTAAACAGGAAGGACAGGGGGCCCCACACCCTTTGGGGTGAGCAGTCTGCCTGGATCCCCTGCATTCTAGCAGGTTCTCCCTCCCTCCCCTCACTTTCCAGGAGGAACAGCTCGAACAAACAACAGAGCTGGGGCCAGAGGGCTGTGAGCCCAGAGAGGAGGGGCCACAGTGGAGAGGGGGGCGGTGTTTGCAGGGAAGGGTAGTGTTGAGGAGCATCTTAGCCCTAAACTGGAGGAGCCTGAGAGTTGAGTCCAGTTGAAAGAACAAGTCAAGAGGGATCTGGCCCGAAAAGGCTGTGCTTTCTAATTAGGAGGAAGGGGAGCAGGACAAAGGGTGAGGGGCCAAGTCCCATCAACCTGGGACTCTGTCAGCAGCTCCTGTCCAGCAGCGCCTCAGGCCCAGCCCTGGAGGAGTGTCCTGGGTCAGCTAGAGGGTGTGGGCTGGGCCTGGGCTCGAAGCCTAGGTGACTGGACGGGGCCGCCTGGGCCACAAGCCCAGGCCTGAAGGAGGGGGGAAAAGCCTCACGTGTCCAGCCAGGCTACCCCCTCCCCATTACTGTGTTTGGGGTGAAAACAGACCAAGTAACTATGGGAACCTGGAACTGGGACTCCCAGGAACTAGGCCTCTCCTCCCTCCAGAGGGCAGCCCTGGCTCCTCAGCCAGCACTTCCTGTCTCAAGGTCCCTCGAGCCTTATCCAGCCTTTTCCAGGCAGTGAATGCAAAAACAAGGATTGTGGAGGCAGATCACCTGAGTTGGATTCCCTGCTTTGACTTTTATTAGTGGATGTCCTTGGTATGTAATTTAAACACTCTGAGCCTTAGTTTCTTCGTGTCAAGTGGGATACTCCTACCTACTTCTCAGGGTTGATGTGAGGATGAAAGATGATGTTCACAATGCCTGGTCCATAGTAGACACACCTTTCCTTCAGCGCTTGCTCCTTTTTCTCTCCGTTTACATTGTCCTTTTCTCCTCCTCTATTCTGCTTGTATCCCATGTGGCTCTGTCACTGTTTCCTTGTCCCATCACTCTTTTTCTTTCCTGACCCCAGCTCGGGAAAGTGCTTGAAGTGCTGGCATCTCAGACTAGGGGCTCTGGGGTGGGCCATGCAGTGCCTCTGGCTGAGTGACAAGGGACAGCTGGCGCTTTGGTGTGAACTGAGAGCCAGACTCTTGGCTGAGGGAGTGGGGTGGTGGGAAGGATTAGGAGAGGCATGCAAGTGGGTGTGCCATGGAGTGGGAGAACGGGGTGGGGAGGATTGTGGAGGCAGATCCATCCTGTGTGGATCTCCAGCCACAGCCCCATCCAAGGCCACCTCAGCATGCCAGCCACTATCACTTTTGCACCTCCCATTGGCCCTTCCTGTCCCAGGCCCTCTTTGTCTTTCTGCTCTGCTGCTTTCCTTGCTCAGGATCCCGTCTTTTGTTCCTCTTATCCTCCCTGACCCCGTGGCCTGCCTTCTCTCTTCTCTGGGTTGCTTTCCTGCCTTCTTTGCCACGGTCATCACCTTCTCTTTTTGGCCCTTTACTCTTTGTTCATCTCTGTGTTTCTCACTTCTTTTGCATTTTTCCCTTCCTCTCCCTCCAGTTCACTGTCTTTTCTTGGTCTCCTCCTGCTGCTGACCCTGTGCTCGCCTCCTCCCTTTCCAGGCCACCCCGCTTTCTTTCCCTTTCCACTCCTTTGTCCACATTCCCTGTCCCTTTCCATGACTTCCTCTCTTCTCCGCTTCAGCCCTCTCCTCCTCCTTTCTCCCCCTTCTTCCTTCACTTCCCCTCTCCAGTCCTCTGTCCTCTTCCCAGCTGTGGGGGCCAGGACCGGGGAGCCTAACGTTTGCCTCATCGTTCTGCTATGGCTTCTGGATACAGCACATCTGGATTCCGGGGCCCAGATGTGTGGTTACCACAGCGACCTCAGTCCTTCTGGTAAATACGGGCGCCCACCCGCCCCAGAACACAGAACAAAACAATTGTGTGACTTTGTTTGTCACGAGATAGAAATGTCCTCCCTCCTCCCTTCTCCCCACACCCATGTCTCCAGGCAAAGGAAGTTTGAAGGGTCCAAACCCTTCCTTCTGTGGCTTTCTTGCCCCCTTTTCAGCCCTAGCCTCTCAGTACTCTCCCATCTTTCATCTCAGGCTCAGTCTTTTCTCTCCATGTTCTTCTTCCTCACCGCCTCCCACCCCTAGTTCTCAATAATGGAATGTTGACCCCGTGTCTTATTGGTAATTTCTTCCAACTGAATCCACATAATAACTGGACACAGAAAGAAGTTTCAAAAATCCAGATCTTCTACCCTTCCTTCTCAAACAAGTCCTTCCCCTTCACTGGTTTCTGCCCTAAGTCTTCAATCTTTCCAGGGCTGTTCTTGGGGAAGCGGAGAGAATACAAGCTTTGGAATCAGAAAACCTGGTGGCCCACCTCTACCACCACTAGCAAAGTCCCTTGGACAAGTCACTTAACCTCTATGAGCCTCTGTTTCTCAGCCACAAAGTGGAATTAATAAAATGCCTGCAGTGTAGGGAAGTGCTTTGTAAACGGAAGCCCAGTACAACTGTTTTCTATCTTCTCTTTTCTGGGACTGCTTCCTTGGACCGCAGCCCCTGGCCTCTCTTCGTTCCTTCTCTTTATCCTTCAGCTTCTTGCCCTTAATTGCCCTCACTCTTGTCTTCCTTCCTTCTCTTCTCCTTGTCTTTCCCTTTCCTTCCTTGCTATATCTTTTATCCCTTATCCTCCTGCCGTTGGAACAGGAACTTGGAGGTTCATTCAAGGACAGAGGCCCAGAGCTGAAGACACCTGGACTGAGGATTCAGAGAACAGCCAGAGCACGCAGACAGTTCTTGACAACACCCCAACCTTTCTACCCATCACCCGGGACACCTCAGTGAAGGTGACCCCAGCTCTGAACACTAGGCTTCCCTGTCTTCACACCTCACGCTCACTACCGGATGCTTTCCCCATCCTTCTCTTCTAGTCCTTTCACAATTCAATATTGACAAGCATTTATTAGGCACCTGCTCTATACAAACCCTGGTGCTTTTCTGATGAGGTGCAAACATACTAAGACGTGAGCTCCTCCAAGAGGCTGAAATCCAGGGGGTGAATCAAATTTTAGACAATGATTATCTCAGAACCTGGAATTATGTCTGTCAAGGTTCCAGTGGCTTCTTCAAATGCCTTGTAAGCTTGTAACTGTCTGGAATCCCACACTCTGAGACTCCAGCATCCCATCTGTCTCCCGGCAGTAGACTTCCAAAATACTACAGGGCCATCCTGCCAGGTCTGACTCCTCTCCAGGGTCTCCTGGCCACTCTGGGCCAAGTATCCTTATGGTGGCCATACTTCCTAAATAATAAAACCAAGATATAAGGTGTAGGACCAAAAAAGAAAAAAAGAAAAAAAATGGATATGACCATGGGACAGAATTGCTGAAATCTGGGGGGTATCAGAGAAAATCTATCCTCTGTGCAGTCTGCTCTTCCCATGTAAGGCTGTTTCAGACCCTCCCTCACCCTTTCATCTACTTTCCCCAACCCCCACCCAGAGATCTGACAAAGCTGTTACCTACTCCAGGCTTTGGGGGCTTCTGGCCAAGGCAGAGGAAGGAAGCTGAGCCCAACTCCATCCAAGATGCTGACTTCATCCTCCCCATCAAAGCCAGGAAAAAAACAGCCACACACACACCCAGACACAAGGATACACACGGGGACACCCACGCGAGAGCCCATGCGAGCCTTTGCCCTCAGCCACAGGGAGCTAAGTGGGCATCTCACAGCCACATGCTGTGCCGGCCTGCCTGACCCAGGAACACCGCACACCTGAGACCAGGGGGATCTGACCTGGGGTGCAGACACCTGTGCCCCAACCCACGTGGCAAAATCAGGCACATACAGGCTCCCGCACGTCCTTTTCACCCTTCACCTGTGACTTGGCCAAGCTACTCCTCAGTGGTGAGGTTTGTAGGGGGGTAGCAAGAACTCTATCCTCAGTGTGAAACCTGGAGTGGAGTCTCCCTCAGCCTGGATATTTCTCCACTGTGGCAAAAGTCTCCTTTTCAGCCCCTTGTCAGGGCAGCAAATGAGGCCAGAGAAACAGCCAGCAGCCTTACATGGTTGTGTCTGCTGTCCTGCCCTCTGGTGTCAGTCTCCCTATCTTTGCCTGAAATCAAAGTGCCCTTTTCCTCCAGCCCCCAACTCTCCCTCCCCCTGCTCCTGCTCCCCTGCAGCACCCAGACATCAGCCCCTTCTGCTTTCTACAACTTCACCCCACCATTCGTGCCCCCACCCCTATATCTGCCTCCTGCCTCTAGCTCTTTCTCTACCCCTAAAACCTTTCTCCTAACTTTCAGGCTTCCCTTCCCTATCTCCCCTGAACCCCAACTTCTTTCCCAAGTTTTATATGTCCTGGTGTTCAGCCAAGCCCTTGCCCAGCCACTGGCCAAGCCTCATCTGCCATTTCTCTAGGAATTTGCTGAGGTGGGAGAATGAAAAGGGGGCAGTGATCTTGAGCTGAGAACAGGATATGGACTGAGCGGAACAGACAGGGAAAGGCAGTGCAGGGACAGGGCAAGCGGAGACGCTAGGAGAGGAAGAGGCAGGGCGCAGGTGGGCACAGTGGGGCCGGGCAGGGGCTGGGATGGGGAGAAGGAGTCCCAGAGTAGGCCCCGTGCTGGAACAGGGTTTAGGCTTGAGAGGGAGGTTTCCTCCTGCCCCCAACTCTGCTCCCTGCCCCACACTGCCAGGAGAAAACTGGTGGGGGGAAGAAGGAATGGGTGCTGGGCAACAGCCAGATGGGGCAAGACCCAAGCTGGAGCAATGTGGCAGCTAGGAAAAGGTGAGAGGGGAGGTGCAGGGGAGGGAGGAGGGCCATGGTGCAAGGTGTTGGTAGAGAGGAGGAGCAACAGGTGGGGAAATGGCCGGGAAAAGAAGGCTGGCATGAGGGAGGGGGTGTCAGGTTTGGCAAAAACTAGGGGTGGGCAGGAAGAGTGAGGATGGGATGGGGAAGGACGCGGGAGGTAGGACCAGGGCTGGAGCGGCGGGATGAGGGCATTGTGGGACTCGGTGATCCCAGACAGGGAGGGGTTCGGGGTGACAGCGAGGGAGGAGGGGAGGGGTGGCAGTGATGAGGTTGGAGGGCCTGGCGGGGGTGGGAGGGGTGGGAGGACCTGCCCTATCTCCGCTCCCCTCCCTGACCTCACGCTGGTCCTCCCCTTCTCCTCCCCCTGCTCGCTGCAGCCTCCCTCCTCCTCGCTGTCGCTGCCGAGATCGACGGTCGGTCGGTCGGTCGGGTCGTGGCTCAGTGAGCCCCTGCTGCAGGGAACAAGCAAGGGGACATCCAGGGAGCCCAGGGCTGCCAAGGGGAGCCCACCCTGCCCTGCCCTGAGAACCTCCCCTCCCAAGGTCGGGGACAGAGCAGGTGCAGAGGCACTGCAACCACTCATTGCCCAGGTAAGGAACAGAGCTCTTGGGAGACGAGGGAAGAGCCCGGAGAGGTGGGGGCTTCTATCCTATCCCTATGACCCAGGCAAAGGTTGGCAGGAGAGCTCTCAGGAGAACCTCACGGAGAAGGGACTTTCTGTTGGGACAGAGGAAATAGGAGCATGCACTCTGGACTAGACTCCCCTGTGGAGGGTGTGGCTGGGAGGACGGCTCAGTGTGGTGTGGGGGATGGATGCCAAGGTTTGGAGAGGATTGGGTGGTGGCACCAGGGGGAGGTGGTTATCGGTGCAGTGGGGCTCTGGGCCCCAGAGGTGCTGGGGCTGGGGGAAACCAGGGGCTAGACTGAGCTGGTGTCCAGCTGAACCTCGGGAGGAAAGTGCCGGTGGAACCCCAAGTGCTCTGGTTGGAGCAGCTGAGCCAGAGCTCCAGGAAGGCGCCAGTGGGGGCTCCTTTGGGCATCCAGAAGGGGAGTCCCCAGGTGACACCACGTGGGTTGCAGGGTCTGGGAGGGAGGTCTGGGGGGTCTTGAGCCTTTAGGAAATGCTGAAATGGAGCAGAGTCAGGACTCCCAGGTCTGGGAAGGGCACAGAGCCTACAGAGAGGTTCCTAAAACTTGTTGTTGGCCAAGAGCTCTGCACCCATGACTCACGGTTCAGCGCGGCTGGGGTGACTGAAAGATGCCTCCAGGGGCACAGGGGCTCCGTCTTTGCTCCGTCCCCCTTCCAGGCTCCCCCTGCTTCTGTCCGTCTGAACCTCCCCCCTCTACACGTGACCTGCCCCGGGTGGGGCAGGCGGGCCCCTTATCTCGCCTGGAAAGAATTTAATGGCTTGGAAACAACTGGAAATGGAACTGAGAGGAACTACTGGGAAGCAATTAGGAAACGCCGCAGCTGCCGGCTGTCTGCTTCCCAATCCCCAGCCCCCTTCCTCTCTCCCTGGCCCTGCCTGCAAGTCTCTGGGGACCCAGCACCTCAATTCCTCAAACTTCCTTTCCCTTGAGTCCTAGTCACTTGGTGCAGGACCAGAACCTGCCTTCCTGTCTCTCTCTGCCCCCCTGACTCTTTCCCACTAGGGGTTGGGAAATTCTTTCTCTTATTTTTTTCCATTCCTCTGGCCCATTAGCTCTTCAGAATAAGGGGCATATAGATCCCCCAACTCCTCCCACACTGGCATCTCCTTGCCACCTGGTTCCAACCCAATATCTGGAACCCCCCATCTCCCTCCTTCCTTTCACACTCCTGGAATCCTTCTACCTTCAGGCCTCATGTGGCCTGAGGGGCAGAAGGAGGCATAGAGGTAGGGCCAAAATCCCCCACCTCTGGAACATCCCTCATGGAAGCCAGCCCCTCTCCCCACCTCTTGGGACCTACAGTCCCTGATGAGCAAAGTGTCAAAGTTGGCCACGACCTGAATACCCAGCAAGCTGAGTCACAGCTTGGGAAGATGCCCCCTACCCCTGCCAGCCCTCCAACTGTGGGGAGGATGCCAACAGGATGAGGCCACATCCCGCCTCCCCCCTGCAGAAAGGCGCCCCAGACACAGCAGTCGGAGGATGAGGAGGAGGAAACACAGAGACACCCAAGTTCTTTGCTTTCCTAGTGATGAGAGAAGAGTGGAACTCTTCCAAGAGTTAGAAGTGGGGAGCTGAGGGGCTGTGGTGACAGGGCAGGAGAGGGGGGACTGGGAAGGAGGCTCTGGGGGTGTAGCCTGTGTGGGGCACTCCTCTCAGCCCTGCCTCACTACTTCCAGGTTCTCTCCTTCCTGCTGGAGAGACCCTCCCCCCACCACCACATGGGGAAAGGCGCAGGACCCAGTTGTATGTGTTGGGGGGGGCACTAGACAACTCCCACAGGCTCCAGGGGCGGGGGCACCATGTATCCTCTGCTCCCCACTAGAGAGGGGCCTCCTGTTTGGTTCTCCTCACTCCAGCTACCTTCTTTGACTCACACAGCTGCCCTCTGGAGCAACGAGAAATCAGCTTTCCTAGGCATCACCTAATGAATGGGTGTGGAGGAAATGTGAAGAGATTGTGTGTGCGCGCGTGCACGCGCGCGCGCCCGTGGGCACACTCACACGTGTGTGCCTGCAGAGATGTAGGCTTATTTGGATGGATATGTTTATATGTGTACAAGAGTGTTATTTGTATTTGTGGATGAGTGTACATGAGTATATGTATGTATACATATATATCCTGGTGACAGGATTTGAGGGTGGGTCAGAGCCACCTCATGCCCAAGGCTATATATACCCCAAGCTGAGAGAAGGGCTGAGGAGCCCAGGGAAGGCAGCTTTCTTGGGCAGGGTGCCTCTCAGTGTGGAAATGCCCTGTGCCTGTTGTCCAGCACCCCTTCTGTCTCTCCTGGGCTGGCGGTGGAGTGTGATGGCTTGTAGCCATGAAAGCTCCTTTTTCTCAGACTCAGAGGAGAAGTTTAAGAGTAGGAAGTACTACTAGAAATAGCTTACTACTGGAAGTAGGAAGCCAGGAAATGTGTGTGTGTTGGCAGAGGGGCTGGTGACTGTCAGCATTTCCCTCACTCACCCTGCCCTCCTTCTTTCTCCAGCCTCTCTGGTCTGGGAGAGCTGGGCACTTGCAGACACTTCTCCTTAACCCTGGGCCTGAACCGAAGACTGGCCTGCCCCTCCACACTCATTTGTGCACCATCGCCCCCTCTCCTGGCTCACCATGAGCGTCCCCCTGCCTTTCCTCTCTAACCCTATTTTCCTGTGCTCCCCAATCCTTTCCTCAGTGGCTTCCACAAACCAACAGCACCTGCATCAAGAAACAGGATATTCTTAGCACCCCCAGAATTCCCCCACGATGCCCCTCCTGGTCACTGCTCCCCCAAGAGTACCACACTTCTGACTTGTAACGCTACAGGTTAACGTTGTCTGTCCTCAAACTTCATATAAATAGACTTTTACAGCATGTTCTGTTTTGTGTGTGGCTTCTTTTGCTCAACTCCATATTAGTGAGCTCCATCCGTGTCATTGCATATAGTCGTAGTTTGTTCTCATTGCTTTATTTAATTCCACTGGGGGAATAAACTACACTTTATTTAATCTATTTTACTGAGGTGAGACATTTGGGTAGTGCTCAGTTGGGGGCTATTCTGAGTCGTCCTGCTGTGGTGGGTACATTCCTAGGAGAGGAACTGCTGGGTCAGAGGGTTTGCATACAGCTCTAGTAGATTTAGTCGATTCTGTCAAACAGCTTTCCAAAGTGCCTGTACCATCTGGCCCTGCCAGGATCCACACCTGGCCTGCTCTCTGGCTCTGCTTCTGTCCCAGCTGCTACTTCTAACCAACTTCCAGTCCCAGACACTGTCCGTGGTCCTAGCCCTCACTTTGGTTCCAGCCCTCATGCTAGTCCTGGGCTTAAACTGAACTTTTCATTCACTCATATAGTCAATAAATATTTATCGAGCACCTACTATGTGCCGGATGCAAGGATACAGCAGCCAAGAAAAAACAGGTGCCATGCCTGCCCCCACGGACCTTACAGTCTAGCGGGCAAGATTGAGTGTGGGCAAGAAAGTAACAAAGTAATCCCACAAATAAATATGTGATTATAAATTGTTATAAATGCTACAAATGAGAGCTACATGGTGTATGATATCACATGATAGGGGGAACCTGACCTGAGCAGGAAATATTCCCTGAGGAAGTGATGTGGGGCTGAGACCTGAAAGATGAGGAGGCCAAGAGAAAAGGGAAGAGCATTCCACATAGAGGGAACCACATACGCAAAGGTCTGGGGTTGGGAAGAGTGCGAGGGACTTAAGGCCAGTGGGCTGGAGTGGTGAGAGGGAGGGACGTGTTATGGGAGATGAGATGGGAGAGGTCAGCGGGGGCCAGAGGATGCAGAGCTGTTTGTCGGTGTTCAAAGAGAATTCAGAAGGGAGACACTGAAGAGTTTTTAGGGAGAGAGGGACATCCTAGTTGCCTTTGTGAGATTGTAAGGGACAAGAGTGGAAGCATAGGGACTAGCTAGGAGGCAATTGCAGTTGTCAAGCAAGAGGCAGATGGTAGCTTAGACTATAATGATGGTAAGAGGGAGAGAAAGTAAGCAAATTAAAGAGATGATTATGAGAAAATATGGGTAAATATGATGCAATATGGTGGTGTTGAGTGGGGTGTTAGGTTTCTGGCTTGTAAAGCTGGATGAATGGTGGGGCCGTGAGCTGCAGTGGAGAACACTGAGAGGGGATGGGGTACAGGAGGGATGGTCATGAGTTCAACTTCAGACATGTTGAATTTAGGGTGCCCAAGAGGAGATGCCAAGTAAGCAGGTGGATATGTTGCTTGCAGTTAAGAGATGACTGGGCTGGTTTTATAAATTGAGGTATAGTTTGAGAATTAAAGTCATGGGTCTGGATGAAGGTACCTAATGACTAGAGCAGTAGGTCTCAATTCTGGCTGCATATTACAATTACCTGAGGAGCGTTTAAAAATACTGAATAAAATTCAGTGCCTCAGTCATTATAGCCACGTTTCAAGTGTTCAAGAGCCACATCTCTCTCCTGGCTACCATATCGACAGCACAGACATAGAATGTTTTAAAATGGAAGATGTGGTCAGTAGTGTCCAGTGATTTTGAGAGAGGTCAAGTGAGATGAAGACAAATGTCTCTTAGATTTTGTGACGCTGTGATCACTGGGAGACCTTAGGGAGAGCTGTTGGGCGGGTTGAAAGGAGATGGGGAAGCCAGATGGGAGTGAATTGAGGCATGCGTGGGATGTGGGGAAATGGAAACAGCAAGTTCAGATAAATATTTTGACAACTGTGGCCACAAAGTAGAGGAGAGAAATATGTGGCAGCTGGGGGGAGAGTGAGATTGGAGAAGTTTTTTTTTTTTTAAAGTATAACTTTCATATAATTAAATGCAGAAATATTAAGTGTATAGCTCAATTTTTTAATATGTACACATCTGTTTAACCACCACCCCGATCAAGGTACCAAATATTTCCAGTAATTCTATCTTATTTGCTAATAGCAAAGATTAGCTCTGCCTGTTTTTGAACCTCATACAAATAGCATCATTCACAGTGTTCTCTTTTTGTGTCTGGTTTCTTTTGCTTAGCATTGTGTGTGTGAAATTTGTCCACGTTGCTGCATGTAGCAAGAGGGTGTTTTTTCATTGCTGTATAGTATTCCATTGTATGAATAGGCCACAATTTATTTATCCGTTCTACTATTGATGCACACTTGAATTATTTTCAGTTTTGGCTGATATGAAAAAAATCCCGTGAACATTCTTGTACATGCCTTTTGGAGGACATATGTAGTCGTTTCTGTTACATATTTACCAAAAAGTAAGAATTGCCAGATTATAGGCTAAGTGCCTTAATAGATAACTGCCTAATAGTTTTCCAAAGTGGTTGCACTAATTTATGTTCCTGCTTGCAATAAATGGGAGTTCCACTTGCTTCATATTCTTGCCAGTATTGAGCAATGACAGTCCCTTTAGTTTTAGCCATTCTGGTGGATATTTGACGGCATCTCATTGTGGCTTTAATTTGCATTTCCCTGATTACTAGTTTTGTTTTATACATATTTATGTTTGTTTTTTGTATGTTTATCACCCCTTTGGATATATCCTTCTTTGGAGTACCTGTTCAAGTCTTTTGCCAATTTAAAAAACTGAGTTGCCTGCTTTTTGTTTGCTGTTTTTTGTTTTTTGCTGAGGAAGATTTACCCTGAGCTAACATCTGCTGTCAATCTTCCTCTTTTTGTTCGTGAGCCACCGCCATAGCATGGCCACTAATAGACAAGTGGTATAGGTCCTCACCCGGGAACCAGGCCTGGGCCGCAGAAGCTGAGTGCGCTGAACTTAACCACCAAGCCACCAAGTCTGGCCCTGAAGAAGTTCTTTATCTTAGATTTTAATCCTTTCTCTCACTCTCAATCAATCTCTCTCTCTTGGGGCCAGCCCCATGGCTTAGCGGTTAAGTGCGCACGCTCTGCTGCTGGCCGCCCGGGTACGGATCCCGGGCGTGCACCAACACACCGCTTCTCTGGCCTTGCTGAGGCCGCGTCCCACATACAGCAACTAGAAGGATGTGCAGCTATGACATACAACCATCTACTGGGGCTTTGGGGAGAGAAAGGGAGAAAAAAAAAAAAAGGAGGAGGATGGGCAATAGATGTTAGCTCAGAGCCGGTCTTCTTCAGCAAAAAGAGGAGGATTAGCACTGATGTTAGCTCAGGGCTGATCTTCCTCACAAAAAAAAAACAAAAATCTCTCTTTCTCTCTCTTTCTCTCCCCCCTCTCGCTCTTTCTCTGCGTATACATATATGTGACATATATACTGACATATCTCACATATTTCCTCCCACTCTGTGGCTTGCCCTCTTATTCACTTAGTGGTGTCTTTTGATGACCAGAAGTTGTCACTTTAATGAGGTCCAATGTGTCAGTATCCTTTTTATGGTTAAGTTTTGTGTGAAATTTATGGTTAAATTTTGTGTGGTTAGATTTTAAGAGTCTTTGCTTGCTCTAAGGTCATAAAGATTTTCTCCTATATTTTTTTCTATAAGATGTTATTCTGAAAGGTATTGCTTTGCCTTTCACAATTAGATTCACTAGATTCATCTCAAATTAATTTCTGTATGTGGACATAAGATAGAGATAGATGTTTTTTCCATATGGATCTTCAATTGACCCAGCACCATTTATCAAAAAGACCATCTGTTCTCCTCTCAATTGCAGTGGCGCTTTTGTCATTAATCAGGTGGCCACATAGGTGTGGGTCTGTTTTTTGCACTCTCTTCTGTTCTATCTGTCTATCCTTGCACCTTTATAATAAGTTTTGATATTTGGTAATAGAAAGCCTGAGGGAGAGGGTTTTAAAAAAAAAAAAAACAGGAGATATTTGAGCTCATATAAAAACTGATGGGAAAGATCTAGTTGAGAGTGAGAGGTTGGATAAAAGAGAAAGAGAAAAGATAATCTACACCTTAAGGTTTCTGAGAAGACAGTAGGAGCTGGGATCCAGGTGCTTGTGGAAGGATTGGCCTTATATACTCATCCGCTCATCCATTCACCATAAATGTGTTGGATAGCCCCTGTAAGCCAGGCACAGGCATCCAGCAGTGCCAGGACACACGAGGTCCCTGTTCTCATGGAGTCCCATTCTAGTGGTGGGAGAAAGATAAACGCGTACCCACACAAACAGATGATCAGGCAGCAGTAATGCCACGAAGAACAGAAGCAGGATATTGTGATAGAGTCTGTGCTGGAAGACTGCTCCGGCTGGGCATCAAGGAAATCCTCTGGGAGTCAATGATGTGTGAGTTAAGATTTGAACAAGAAGGAGCCAGCCTTTAAGAGCTGAGTGAAGAGCATCCAAGACAGAGGGAACATACAGTGCAAAGGCCCCAAGGCTGTGTAAACTTGTAGTGTCTGTGGAACAAAAGGCCAGTGGGGGTGGAACAGTTTAAAAAAAAAAATGGGGAGCAGAGTAACCAAATGACATCAGAAAGCGAGGTAGAGACCAAATCTGCCCAAGGGGAGTATCCCTTAGGGTTGGGCTGAATGTGGATTTTTACATACACAAGAGTTGTAGATTAGTTGTGGGTGGTGGGACTGTGGGTGTGTGTATTGACAAAGAGGAGGAGATCCATCTTGTCTCTTCTGAGAAGCTGCTCTCACATGTGCCCTCTTTCCCTGCAGCCTCCTGAATGATGGCAGCCCAGTGTTCCCTAACCTCCAGCCTGGCCCTCCTGGTGCTGCTGGGCACAGTCCAAGCAGGCCCTTTCTCTCCACGGTCCAATGTGACACTCCCAGCCCCACGGCCCCCTCCCCAGCCAGGGGGCCGCACAGAGGAGCCAAGAAGGGGAAGTCCCTCTTCTCAGCTTTATGAGCACACCGTGCAAGGAGGGGAGAAGCAGGTGGTGTTCACCCACCGCATTAACCTGCCCCCTTCAGCTGGCTGTGGCTGTCCCGCGGGCACTGAGCCCCCTGTCCCTGCTTCAGAGGTGCAGGCCCTCAGGATCCGGCTAGAGATTCTGGAAGAGCTGGTGAAGGGGCTCAAGGAACAGTGCACTGGCGGATGTTGTCCTGCTGCTGCCCAGGCTGGCACAGGTGAGCAGATGATCACAGGAGGGGCACAGACAAAGAGGAAGGTGGAGAAGTGGGTTAGAGTTGGGTGGGCATCACTAGTCCATAAAGGATCTTGGTATGAGTTAGAAAAAGACACCCATTCCTCGCCTTTGGGGGTGGTGAGTGCAGCCCAGGACAGGACTCTGAGAGGAGCCACCTGGCTACATGTCAACCCACCCCTCCCCCCAAGCATATGCTAGGGCCCTGGGAGGTCACATATATTGACAAGGAGCAGCTGGAAACTAAGATAGCCTTATGAAATGAGGCTGGCCCTCCCGGAGGTGCCAACTCAGAGCAGCACTGTGCGGGCTCAGCCTCGCCCCCAGAAAGACTGAGGCCGTCCTCTCTCTCTTACTCCAGGCCAGACGGACGTTCGTAGCCTTTGCAGTCTCCATGGCGTGTTTGACCTGAGCCGCTGTGCCTGCTCCTGCGAGCCGGGCTGGGGTGGGCCCACCTGCTCGGACCCCACAGACGCCGAGATGCCCCCTTCCTCCCCACCCTCAGCCACCGGGTCCTGCCCAGATGACTGCAACGATCAGGGTCGCTGTGTACGCGGGCGCTGCGTGTGCTTCTCTGGCTACACTGGCCCCAGCTGTAGCTGGCCCACCTGCCCCGAGGACTGCCACGGCCGCGGGCGCTGCGTGCAGGGCGTGTGCGTGTGTCGGGCGGGCTTCTCGGGCGACGACTGCAGCCTGCGCTCCTGCCCTCGGGGCTGCAGCCAGAGGGGGCGCTGTGAGGACGGGCGCTGCGTGTGCGACCCCGGCTACACTGGCGAGGACTGTGGGATGAAGAGCTGCCCTCGAAGTTGCAGCCAGAGGGGGCGCTGCGAGAATGGGCGCTGCGTGTGCAACCCCGGCTACACTGGCGAGGACTGTGGGGTGAGGAGCTGCCCCCGGGGCTGCAGCCAGAAGGGGCGCTGCGAGGACGGGCGCTGCGTCTGTGACCCTGGCTACGCCGGCGAAGACTGCGGCTCGCGGAGCTGCCCGTGGGACTGTGGCGAGGGCGGGCGCTGCGTGGACGGCCGCTGCGTGTGCTGGCCGGGGTACGCGGGCGAGGACTGTAGCACGCGGACGTGCCCGCGCGACTGCCGAGGCCACGGGCGCTGCGAGGATGGCGAATGCATCTGCGACGCAGGCTACAGCGGGGACGATTGCGGCGTACGTAGCTGCCCTGGCGACTGCCACCAAAGGGGCCGCTGCGAGGACGGCCGCTGCGTGTGCTGGCCCGGGTACACGGGGCCTGACTGTGGCGCACGCGCCTGCCCGCGCGACTGTCGGGGCCGCGGGCGCTGCGAGAACGGCGTATGCGTGTGCAACGCGGGCTACAGCGGCGAGGACTGCGGCGTGCGCAGCTGCCCCGGGGACTGTCGCGGCCGGGGCCGCTGCGAGAATGGCCGCTGCGTGTGTTGGCCCGGGTTTACAGGACGGGACTGCGGCACGCGCGCCTGCGCCGGCGACTGTCGCGGGCGCGGGCGCTGCGTGGACGGCCGCTGCGTATGCAACGCGGGCTTCACGGGCGAGGACTGCGGGAGTCGTCGGTGCCCCGGGGACTGCCGCAGTCGCGGTCGCTGCGAGGATGGCGTGTGCGTGTGCGACTCAGGCTACGAGGGCGAGGACTGCGGCGCGCGCAGCTGCCCCGGAGGTTGCCGAGGTCGCGGCCAGTGCTTGGACGGGCGCTGCGTGTGCGACGACGGCTACTCGGGCGAGGACTGCGGCGAGAGGCGGTGCCCGCGCGACTGCAGCCAGCACGGCGTGTGCCGGGACGGTGTGTGCACCTGTTGGGAGGGCTACGCGGGCGAGGACTGCGGTCTCCGTACCTGTGCCTCCAACTGCAACCGGCGCGGCCGCTGTGAGGACGGACGCTGCGTGTGCGACTCAGGCTACACCGGCCCCTCCTGCTCCACGCGCACCTGCCCGGCCGACTGCCGGGGCCGTGGGCGCTGTGTGCAGGGAGTGTGCGTGTGCCACGCGGGCTACAGCGGCGAGGACTGTGGGCAAGAAGAGCCTCCCGCCAACGCCTGCCCTGGGGGCTGCGGGCCCCGGGAACTGTGCCGCGCGGGCCAGTGTGTATGCGTCGAGGGTTTCCGAGGTCCCGACTGCGCCATCCAGACGTGCCCCGGGGATTGCCGCGGCCGGGGAGAGTGTCGTGAGGGCAGCTGCATCTGCCAAGATGGCTATGCAGGGGAGGACTGCGGGGAAGGTGAGCGGGCAGCCTTTCCCAATATGCTCAGTCAGGGACTGGGAGCCGGAGCTGGTTGGAAGGCCTGAGTCTGAGGCCTGGGAGCTCAGGGATGTGGAGAAGAGTAAAGAGTGGTCGTATATTGGAGTGGGGCGGCAATCAGAGGAGCCAGGGAGCCAGTGTCCACCAGGGGCAGCAGAACCATGGGGCATGCCTGCAGGCAGGACCTGCTTTCAAATCTCTGATGAGCAGGTTAGTGGCCCTTTTAGTTGCTTTAAGGGAGATTCTGTGTTCCTGAAGATGGGAGGAAGGTGAAGGAGATCCAGGGCCTATTCAGGCCTCTGTCAGGTTTGCCCTACCCCCAGAGAGCAGTGGGAACTGGAATGGATCTCTTAGTGTGGCCCTGAGTAGGGTGGCCTGTGATGGTGGGGGTAGGGGGTGGGGGCTGCCTTGGGCTAACCAGCTTCCCATATCCCATTCTCCTGGGCAGAGGTGCCAGCCATTGAGGGCATGAGGATGCACCTCCTGGAGGAGACCACGGTTCGGACAGAGTGGACCCGGGCTCCCGGCCCTGTGGATGCCTATGAAATACAGTTCATCCCTACAGTAAGAGCCAAGCTGTAGGAGGGGGCTGAGTGGGCAGGACTGGGGGGAGGAGGTGCTCAAGGAGGAGGAACCTCAAGCAGAAAGTTCCAGGTAATCAGTGGTTGGGTCCAGATGGCTGGGTTCCTGAAGCTGCTGTCAAGTCCTTCTCATCCTGCCCCTCACGGGGTGCAGAAGGCCTCTGCAGCATTGGTCTACTGTCGCTGGAACACCTCTGGTGACGGCAAGCTCAGTACTTCCTGAGGCTGTCCAATCCGTTGTTGGTCATCGCCATGAGTCAGTTCTTTTTATTGTTGCTGAATCCAAATCTGCCCCCTTCCAATACCCATCCATTGGCCCTGGGTGGGCCTTCACCCGCAGTTGGAATGTTGTCTTGCTTTCCTTGTGTCCTACACCACACAATTCAGGGATTTGGAGACATCAGCTATCACATCACCTTTCATTCTCTCCAGGCCAAACTCACTGGTCTCTTCACCCCTTTTCCCCAAGGCTTTGTTCTCTGAATCCTTCACTTCTGAGTTCCCTCCTCTAGTGCCTCCCGCTTTTTACACGTGCCCCCCAAAATGTAGGGGCAGAGAGGAGCACAGTCGTTCACCTGGCTAACTCTGGACACAGTGGCACTTTTCTCAGAGTTGATGTATATTAACATGTAGTCACACAGACTATCAGCTGTTTTGATCGTATTTGTTTTTTTAAGTAACTTTTTATTAGAAAAGTCATCTAGGCTCAGTGTAGAAACTTTAGAAAATATAGATAAGGAAAAAAGAAAGAAGAAAGGAAGGAAGAAAAGAAAGAAGGAAAAAAGACGATGTTCAACTGTATACACTTTTTTAGCCTAAATATAGGCCTTTGCATTTGGCTCTGTTCAGTGTTATCTTTTTTGGTTTGGGCCAAGCTGTCTAGGCTGTTGCAATAATTTGAGTCTGTGAACTGGCTCTCCCACCTCCATGTCGTCAGTGCATTGCAAAGCATCCTTTCTCTGTCTCCTTCCAACTCACTCTTAAAATATTTGAGGGGCACCCTAAGGACAAAGCCTTGTGGCCTCTCATTAGAGACCTCCCTTTTGCAGATGGGGCTTTTATGATGTGTTTGGTCTCCCAGCTCCCAATCATCTGACATTTCTACTGTCCAGCTCATGTTTTCTTGCATCATCTCACAAATGCCATGGGTGGGTAGGCCATGTCACCCTCATCTCTGCCCAGCCAGGACTCTGTAAAAAAAATAAACTCCCAGGGCCTAAATCCTAGGAAGGCTCTAGGACAGAAGGGGCAGCTCAGAGGTGCTGGCTGTCATCCCCACCCCAACTGGCCTGGTCATTCTAAGTCTTCTTATTATCCCCCAAGGCCAGACCCCTACCATGTGCTGTCTCTCCTCACTCCCTGGTAGAAGCAGAGGCAGAAATCCCTACTTTGCCATGCAACCAAGAGAGCTTGGATTATTTCTTCTGTTTAAAAAAAAAAAATTAATCACAAGACAAGAATTTGGCAACTAGAGAAAAAAACAAATAATTCTTGGCTGCTTCACATTCAAACAAGCACTCTTAACATTTTAAAGTGTTTCTCCCACTCTCTTCTTCTGTGTGTATTATTTACATAGTGCTAATCTTGAGAGGGTGGGACCTTGAGAGGGAACTTTCTGAAGAAACTTCAGGGAAAGAATTAAAATAAACACTTGAGATAGAAGAAGCTTGCAGGGCAGCGCTGTCTCTTGCTCTCAGTAAATATGAACCCATCCTCGGGTGTTCGCAAGAGGTGTGGCTTCCCAGCGGAAGCCTTAGGCTTCCTCCCTCAGTGTGGGGCCGGGGTGGCGTTGAGCTGGCCTGTGCCCGGCGTGGCCATGCTCTCAGCTCATTTCCTCTGCTTTGGGTATGGGCCTCTGTCACATTCTGGGTTCTCTCTGAGCCTGGGTGTGGCAAATGCTCCTGTAAAATTGGTCCCCAGATACCTCTCTTGGACTCCACATGAGCGTGTGCAACTGGCCCTCAGTAGCTTTCTACGCTTTCTGTGGCTGGCCCCTGGAATGGTGCCTCTTGCCTTGGCCAGCACTCTCTGTCCTTTTTTGTTGGCACAGAGTATATTCAGTAGCTGCCTGCCCCCTGGCCACTGCCATCTTCCTAGAAGCCTGTCTCCACTTTATCCCCTCCTCTTTTCCAGGAGCACTTCTCTCTCAAAGCCCAAACTCTGCTATTCCTGGCTAAGGGACACACCTAGTTACTGGAATGATTTTCAGAACACAGAAGAGGAACCTTCCTCCTTCTCCCTGCATACGTGGCATTGTTACTCTGACTCAGTGGTTCTCAAAGTGTGTTCCCTGGACCTGCAGCATTGGCATCACCTGGGAGCTTGTTAGACATGCAAATTGTCAGACTCCACCCCCAGATCTACTGAATCAGAAACTCTGGGGGTGGAGCCCAGTAACCTGTGTTGTAACAAGCCCTCCAGGTGATTCCGATGCACCCGAAGCCTAAGGACCACTAACTTAAGGAATGTTGCTATTTTGCAAAATGCTGGCTCCTCTATGAATGTGAGAGAAAGCATGAGGAAACTGAGGGAAGTGAGCCCCTGAACAGAAAGAGGTTCACGTATTCCTTGTCTGGGTATATTCTGCAGCCTGGAAACTAGGGCTATGTTGCATTTTCATTGGGACATAAGACCTTGCAGCCTCAGAAAAGTTTGTGTTCGGGTCTGGTCTGAAAAGGGGGATGAGGGTGAGGTAAGCTCCAGGGACAAGCCAAGGTGGAGTCCCCCCCTGGGGCCACGAAGTTGATATTGAGAATAGGGTTAGAAACTCGCCAAGGACAATCAATGAAGCGGCCAAGCTTTCACCAAGGGGCAGAGCCAGCTGCCAGCATCTGGCTAGAGAGCCTGCCTCAGACCAGACAGATAATGCTGAGAGATGTGGGTTAGACTGACAATGGGCCTTTCCGGGGGCTGTTCCCAAATGGATCTCAGGAGGGACAAACTGGTGTCTAAAAGGTTCACGTAGGTGATCTGAAGGGAGAAGGAGAACTCTGGGGATGGGCTTGTCTTGTTGAAAGGACCTGACATCATCAGGGAGCACCCAAGGAGGGTATGTGTATGTGTGGTGGATTAGCAGAACAAGGTGGGAGAGAGAGAGTAAGTTCTGGGAAGGATGAGGACTTCACAGGTCTTCAGTTGAGGCCAACCCAAGGCCTCCTAGGCTGGGGTATCCTAGGGCAGGGTGAGTAGGAGAAGGACGGGGGTCCTGTGTGGCCAGGAAACCATTTCAGCCAAGAAAACTCTGACAAAGCTTTATTTCATCCTCAACTGAGAAATCTCTACGTGGCCTCTCATCTGGTTTTATACTTTGGTATTTACTATGTTGATTTCTCCACAATTCTCTTGGTATAGGAGAGTACCTTTTGAAATTTCCAATCCTACTTGGCTGAATGGAGGTGTCCCCATCACGGCCAACATAGCTAAACAGAACAGAGCGTCCTTATTAGCTGTCCTAGCTGGACAGCCCAGTGAAATGCAGGGCTGTTACCCTGCTCACAGATGTCCAGTTCCTCCTATTTCCTCCCCAGCAGCTGGCTTTCCAGGAGACCCTGCCTGGAGCAGGCACTGGCAGACTTCCCGTGGGGTCACCACAAATAATCATAATACCTTAAATGTACACTCAGAGGAGGGGCGTTTTGTCACAGGCCTGTACTCCACAGAGATTTGGGTAGGGATCTAATAAAACTTAAGACCTGGCCATAGATTTAGTTACTGGAACATGAGCTATCTGAGGACAGGGACCATATTTTTTATTTTGTGTTTCCGATGCCCAGCATGATGCCAGATACAAAATCGGGGAAATGTATCTGTGGAACTTTGAGCAGGTGGGCCTTGTCTTTGAGGGCCCTACAAGCCTGCTGAAGAGACAAGAAATGTGCCTAAAGGGCAATGTCATGACATGGATCACACCCAAATTACACAGCTGGGGCCAGTGTCTGTGGGGAGGCTGGGCCAGGTCAGATGCTTTGAGGAGGAAGTGAGACTTGAAGGGACATCCCTCATCTACTTCATCTGTTATGACAGGAATGAGCTGGAGAAGCCTCCTTGCACCCAGGTAGTCAGGATTGCCAGGAGAAAGCTAGGGGGAGAGTCCTGGCATGTGTCACGTAGAATTCTGGCAGACAGATGATGAACAGGATAAAAAGGTGGTGCCCATGACAGGGGACTCTGGGGTCACACTGCCAGGATTTAAATCCCTGCCACTTTCTTGGTGTCGGTGACCTTGGGCTAAGTACTTAATCTTTTTGTAGCTCAGTTTCCTTATCTGTATAATGGGAATAATAGAACCTATCTCATAAAGTTCTTATGAGGATTAAGTGAGTTCGTGTTTGTAAATTGCCTTAAACAGTACCTGGCATGGAGTAAGTGTTCTAGACATGTTTGCTGTTACCATGCATGCTCCCCAGCTGTATAGGGCCAAGTTCTACAGAGTCCCATGTTGACCCTGCTTGGAACTGGAGAAACAAGGGCTAAGGGGGATTGAGCAGCAGGGGCAAGAGTGCCAGCCCCTGATCCACCTGGTACTCTCTCTCTTACAGACAGAGGGGGTGAGCCCCCCATTCACGGCACGTGTGCCCAGCTCTGCTTCGGTCTATGACCAGAGAGGATTGTCTCCTGGTCAGGATTACCAGGTCACTGTCCGTGCCCTTCGCGGGACTAGCTGGGGCCCTCCTGCCTCCAAGACCATCACCACCAGTGAGAGCTGGGGCTGTGGGGCAGGGACCTGGGTGGAGATGTGGATTTGAGGATTTGAGATGGGTGGCTGGGAATCTGCCTTCCAGGAGAGCAGAAGGGAGGGGTTGGGTGGGGGCAAGTCTCTTAGGAGGAAAGCTGGTGACTGAAGAACCAGACTCCCACCTGATCCCTCCACTCTCTAACCTGGCTAGTGATCGATGGCCCCCAGGACCTCCGCGTGGTGGCTGTGACGCCAACCACACTGGAGCTCAGCTGGCTGCGTCCCCAGGCCGAGGTGGACCGATTCGTGGTGTCCTATGTCAGTGCTGGCAACCAGAGGGTGCGGCTGGAAGTGCCCCCTGAGGCAGACGGGACGCTGCTGACTGACCTGATGCCAGGCGTGGAATATGTGGTGACTGTCACTGCAGAGCGGGGCCGGGCAGTAAGCTACCCAGCTTCCGTCAGGGCCAACACAGGTATGGCTGGCCAGGGGTTAGGGAAGGGCTGAGTTTCTGAGTAGAAGCCCCTTCCTTGGGAGCCCATGTGTAGGGCTCACAGGCTCCTCTGAATGCACTTGGCAGGGTGTCTGGTTGTCCCAAAGCACCTGCTGGGGTTCTTGCCCTAGACCAAGGGCACTGGGGAGACAGACCCTTCAGCTGCTTGGAGTCCTGTAGGAAGGCTGCCCCATGGAGAGAAGCAGTAAATAGGAGATACTGTCTGACCCACTCAGATGCAGGAAGTTCTGATCCAAACTTAGGCACAGGGAGGCCCTTGTGCTCACAGTCAGTGGTCAGATCTTGCAGGGATTGGAATTAGGCAGACCAGAGATCAGCACTCCTGTTGACTTTAGGATTGGGGTTCTGGGGAGTTAGGTCTCATAGCAGTAATTTTCCACTAACCCTCAAGGTCTCTTAACAGATGCCTGGATCTTTCTTTTCTTTTCCTGTGACAGAGGGACGCCCACCTTGCTGTAGCTCACATTCTCTCCTCCCACTCCCATTTTTCTCCTTCAGACACAGGGCCCCACCCGCTGGCATCTCTCTTTTTTCTAGGGCACCAACAGTGGCGGGCTTGGAGGGCGAGGGGTGAGGGGCTCCTGGGACACTGACTCCTTTCTCTTGGTTCTCTTTCCAGGTGGGGCTGGGGCGCAGGAAAGAGGCCTCTGGCTCGGAGGGAGGGAGTGCCTTGGGGAGGAGCGTAGGGGTAGGGAGACTGTCACTGACCTGCTCTCCCCCTACCCCTTTTTTGCCCCCGGCAGCGCCAGGCCACTACAGTTACCCGGAGGTGCGCCCCCCAGCCCCACCCCCCAAGTCCCGGCCCAGGCCCGCCTCGGCCTCGCGGCCCGCGCGCCCTGCTCGCCCCCCTCGGCCCTCGCGGCCCACAGAGGAGGGGGAGGAGGAGACTCGGCCCGGGCCTAGCCTGCCCCAGCCCCCACGGCGGGCGTGGGGCAACCTGACGGCCGAGCTGGGCCGCTTCCGCGGCACGGTGCAGGACCTGGAGCGCCACCTGCGGGCCCACGGCTACCCACTGCGGGCAAACCAGACCTACAAGTCGGTGGCGCGCCACATCCACGAATACTTGCAACGGCGGCGTCTGGCGGGTGCCGTCCCCGCCGGCTCCCCCGCACCCCCGCCCCGTCGCCCCCATCCCACCGCCAGCCCCGACTCAGGCACCTGGAAGCGGGACTCCAACCAGGGCATCTACGGCCTCTCGCCTGAAGGCGTCGACCGAGTGGCTGCGCCTCGCCACCCCAAGCCTGAGGTGCTGGGCAGTTCCGCCGACGGCGCATTACTCGTGTCCCTCGACGGGCTCCGCGGCCACTTCGAGCGCGTGGTGCTGCGCTGGCGGCCCCAGCCGCCCGCTGAGGGCCCCGGCGGGGAGGTGACTGTGCCGGGCACCACGCGCACCGTCAGCCTACCCGACCTCAGGCCCGGCACCACCTACCACGTGGAGGTCCACGGGGTGCGGGCAGGGCAGACCTCCAAGTCCTACGCCTTCATCACCACCACAGGTAGCGTGGGCTGGGGGCCGGACCACCCATCCCCTGCCCAGCCTCACCTGCCCGTTGGAGTCTACATCCATGAGTTCCTCCCACTGCCTAACTGCTGAGACTGCCACCCCCACCACACTCTTCTGTCTTCAAGCACTACCTGGTCCAGGCTCCAGGGGACCCTACAACAGAGCACACCCTTCTGTGTCCCTAGAAGCCACCTCCACCCCCAGGGTCCTGGCAGATACCCAAGGCCAAGGAGACCTGGTCTTTGGGGTTCCCTGATTTTCGCTTGAGTCCCCAGGGCACGTCTGCCAGGATTGCTGTTCTAGGCGATAGAAAGGGCATTTTGTGGGTGGGGCAGTGCCTGCAAAGAGTCTCTGGAGCAGTTGGGGTGGGGCAGGGAGTGAAACCAGCGGTTCCCCACTCTGACTCACTGTGGTGAGGGTGGCTGAAGACTGTGGTCAGTGGTTACTGTTTTCCACAATTTGGCCTTGACCTCAAAGGAACACCTTGGAACTGCTTGGGGGTGGCCTTGAGGCCATCGGGCAGCATGAGTATGTGAGAGGTGAAACCACTGCTTCTTGAGCTGTCTTTCCAGACCTCCTGGCTCACTTCACACCTGTCTCTCCCACAGGAACGATGTCCAGGCTCGGGGAAGGGGCGCTCTGTGGCTGCCATGGGGAGGGTTGTGGGCCTTTTCTTCCCCCATAGGGCCCAGATGCCACCTGAGCTGGATGTCGCCCCCCACACACACCCTTTCTTCCCTCTCTCCCCACTATCTACTCTCTTCTCGCATCCTCCTTCCCTAACACCACCATCTCCTCCTTTCTTCTAGGCTAGTCACTGCAGCACTAATGGAAGCCACGACCACCACCCACTAGGGAGGGGGATGCGTGTGGGGAGGGACATGGAAGTCTGTGGGGGCTGGCGGTAATAGGAGCCTTGTGAGAGGAGGGATGGCAGGCTTTGTTTCTTTTATTTATTACATGCAGGGATGTCTGTTCAGGAATGTGGTGGACAGGGGTGTATGGAGGACTGCAGAGACCTTTGGGAGGATGAGTTGGCCCAGGGAGTGGGCCCAGGAACAGACAAGGGGGGTCCTGTAGGCTCTTAGAGGCTAGGGGACACAACCTGGGGGCTGGGGTTTTCTTTCTGGCTCTCATACTCGACTCTCCTGTTTTTCTTGCCCTGCCCTTTCTCAGGGTCCTCCCCTTCTGACCTCTTGGGGGCCACTGATGAACCTCCTCCCTCAGGCCCTTCAACGACTCAAGGAGCCCAAGCCCCCGTCCTGCAGCAGCGCCCCCAGGAGCTGGCAGAGTTGAGGGTGCTGGGCAGAGACAAGACAGGGCGCCTCCGCGTGGCCTGGACCGCCCAGCCTGACACCTTTGCCCACTTCCAGCTGCGCCTGTGGGGGCCCGAGGGGCCGGAGGCTCATGAGGAACTACTGCCAGGGGATGTCCGCCAGGCTCTGGTGCCCTCACCCCCTCCTGGAGCCCCCTATGAGTTGTCACTTCGTGGGGTCCCCCCCAAGGGCGAGCCCTCTGCCCCTCTCATCTACCAAGGCGTTATGGGTACATCCTAGATTCTGCTCAGACCGGTGTCCTGAGGTTGGGGGAGGAGCTGGGCCATCAGAGGTGGGATGGGGGTTGAAGGCAAGGCTGGTGTTTGGGTCGGGGTGGTAGGAGAAAACAAGGAGAGAAAAGAAATTGAGGGTTCAGGGGAAAGAGGGATGGAGGGGGTCTTAGAATGATGATAGAGTGGGTTGGGGAGAGGAGTACTCCAGGAGAAGAAGATGGGAGGAGAGAAGTCAGAGGGTGGAACAGTGATTCAAGGAGAGAAGCTGTAGGCCCTGGCTCTCCACCTGCAGCTTTCTTTGCCCTGTTTCCTGCCCTCACTGCCTGGTCGCTCCTCCGCCCCACCCTGCCCCATAGGTCTCTCAGGGTGGATGTGGGAAGGCCTCTAGCCCTGAGGATACTGACCCTTGGCCCCCTCCCCCCCTTCCCTTCCCCATAGCCCCCAGACCCCCTTCACTGGGCCGACTAGGATGGTGGTACTGCCCCCCACTGCGGGAGCCTGGCCTGCAGTGGACAGTGCCCCATGGTCCCATCAGCCAGTTTCTGCTGGGAGTGGAGGTTCCTTAGAGTAGGGAGCTTCACAGCCATCAGGACTTCAGAGATGGGTGAAGTTTGCAGAACCAGTGAAGGACAGGGCCTGGGTGCCTGGATCTCACATTCCCTCTTGGTCCCTCTCTATGGGACCGGGATAGCCGGCTCTCCCTGCAACTCTAGGTCAAGCTCACCACTGGGAGAGAGTGTGGCAAGAGAAAGAGAAGTTCAGGTGGACTGAGGAGCCTTCAGACTGCTCTAAAGCAGCAATGGGGAGGTTCAAAACAGGGAGAACCACAGGGGACCTGAAACTCCCCCAAAGATCTTGGTGTGGAGAGGGACTGGGACCTTTGTGAGGGTGGGGAAGCTGTCGCAGGGAAAGCCCTCACTCCAGAACAGAGATTGGAAGGAGAAATGCCCCCCTTCTGCAGAAAGCTGGTCACAGAGGGCTGAGGGGTGGGAAAATGGCTTCGAGGGAGGGAGCTGTCCAGGATAGAGTGAGGCAGTGGGCAGAGGAGAGGGAAAGAGACCTGGGACAAGGCAATGGTTGAGTCCACCTGCTTTGCTTTTTGCCCCCCATACTCCAGACAAGGATGGGGAGAAGCCCGGGAAGCCACTGGTCCCACCACGCCTGGGCGAGCTGACAGCAACCGACGTGACCTCCAACTCTCTGCTCCTGCACTGGACGGTCCCTGAGGGCGAGTTCGACTCCTTTGTGATCCAGTACAAAGACAGGGACGGGCCCCAGGTGGTGCCCGTGGAGGGGCCCCAGCGCTCCGCCCTCATCACCAACCTGGACCTCGGCCGAAAGTACAAATTTGTCCTGTATGGGCTGGTGGGCAAGAAGAGGCATGGCCCCCTAGTGGCTGAAGCCAAGATTCGTGAGTGAGAGTGGTCATATACCCCCTGCCCTGCCCTCTGCATGGTCCTGAAGGAGGTCTTCCCAGTGCTTTGGAAACCTGCTTTGGGAAATCTGGAAAGGCTTCCTGGAGGCAGTGGTGTCTGAGATGAATCCTGAAGGGAAAATAGTGGTGGGTCAGGCAGAGAGGTGGAGGAGGGCAGTGTAGACAGAGGGAGCCATGAAGAGTGAGGCAGGAGTGCGTGCGGCCCTGTAGGAGAATCAATGTCTGTCTCGTCTGGATAGAGAGCTGGACACCTGGGGAACCAAGGGGATTGGCCTTATGTGTGACTGAGGAGCTTGGACCTCATTTGAGGGCCCTAGGGGGCCTCTGAAGGATTTTAAGTGGGAAAGTGCCATGATTTGATATGTATCTTATAAATAACAGTGAGGCTGCCACAGAGGGTAGCTGAGTTGAGAGCTGGGAAGAAATGGTGGCTGACTAGGGTCGTGGCAATGAGGCTGGATGTGGGAGGTGAAGGAGAGTGAGGCCAAGGCATCCCCATGTTTCTGTATCAGACCGTCCAGTTCCATGAGGCAAGGAACAGCGGAGGTGAGGAACAACGCTGCCTTGTTATTCACCTCCGTGAGGGACACTTAGATAAACATCTTTGGAGCATTTGTTAAGTGTCAGATGGGTTCAAGATGTTCTAAGTGTATCATCACACTTAATCCTTACAGCAGCCCTGTGAGGCATGCCCATTTTATAGATGTGGAGAATTGAGGCACGGAGAGGGAGAGGTTCCTCCAGCAGAAAGTGATGGGGCCATGGGGTTGTACTGCTGCCTCATGGGTCTGGAGAGCAGAGAGAAGGCCTGAAGAGGGGGTGTGTCATCAGTGCCAATGGGCAGGAGCCTGGTGAGAGTGTCGGGGGAGCAGAGACAAGGCCGCTGGAACCCTGGAGATGGCCAACATTCAGAGCAGGAGCAGAGGAAGAGGAGCCTGCCGGGCAACCTGAGGGAGGACTTAGAGAGAGGGGCCAAGCCAGGGAGAGTATGTCCTGGATGCCAAAACACAGGGCACGGTCAGATGTGTCAGATTCCATAAGAGTGATTCAGGGCTACAGAGTGTCCACAGGCCTTAGCAATGGCAAGGTCACCACTCACCCTGGTCAGAGTTGCCGGTGGAGGGTGGAGCTGGGTTGGGAGGGTGATGGAGGTGAGGACATGGCTACAACCAGTGTAGACATCTCTTTCTGGAATCTGGACTCGCAAGAGAGAGCAAAGAGGGAGGGTGGAGGCTGGAGGGAGATACAGCTGAATGGAGGAGCTCGTGTAATGCTGTGGCACAGCAGTGGAGAGTGAGGGGTTGGTGGTGCAGGGTGGGAGAGGAGGAGGTGGGCTCGGAGCACAGGTGTGGGAGGCTCTCCCACATTAAAATGCTTCAAGGATCATGCTTCCCTCTCTTGGAGGAGAAACCAGCTAGTGGTTAGGCCTGGAAGCAATAGAGCTTGTCCGGGAAGACTTCCCTGGCTATGGAGATGTGCAAAGGGCTGGCTGGGCTCCCTTCTCTCTGAAGCCCCTCCCCAGGCTGCAGATAGAGTCTGGGCCACACTAGTCCATATAGTGCTTTTGTGCCATTTAGAAGAGGGCACCCCTTCCTCTAGCTGGGCATAGCCCCTTGCCAGGGTACACAGCTTGGCAAACAGAGTGCTGGCTGGATTTTAGTCCCTCAGTGCTCCCTCAGTTTGTGGGAACAGCCTGCACAACCTCACACAGCATCCCCGTGTGGGAGATGGACTCCCCCTTCTCCTATGACCTGTATCCTCCCTTCTCTCTACCCCCTCTTCCTAGTGCCTCAGAGTGATGGCACCCCAGCAACTCCACCACGCCTGGGAAAGCTGTGGGTGACAGATCCCATGCCAGACTCGCTGCACCTCTCCTGGACTGTCCCTGAGGGCCAGTTCGACTCCTTCGTGGTTCAGTACAGGGACAGGGATGGACGGCCCCAGGTGGTGCCCGTGGAAGGGCACGAGCACTCGGTCGTTGTTTCCCCCCTGGACTCGGACCACAAGTACAGATTCACTCTGTTTGGGATTGCCAACAAGAAGCGGCATGGCCCCCTCATGGCTGATGGCACCACTGGTGAGTGGCAGCCACCTAATCCTTCTTGTGACCCCTCCCAGCCTTCTACACACATGCCGTCAGCCAGGAACGGCTGGGCCTCCCAGCAAGACGGCTGACTCCAAATCCTGGCCCTGCTCCCAGGCTGTGGGGCAGCCAGCCTCCCCTGAACAGCTGGGCCCCTTCCATCCCATTCAGCTGCTCCCCAAGGCCCAGAAGGTGTGTCATACCCTGGCTGTGCCAGACTGCTCGCGAATTCAGCACTCACACTAATTGAATAATGACCCCCCCCAGGTGTGATAACTCGTCCAAGCCCCCAGCCCCAATATCGGGCTGCCAGTTCAGCCCTGACTGAATCCTCTTATTTATAGCCTCAGAGAAGAGAGAGGAACCCCGCCACCCAGAGTCCCCCGAGCAGCCCCTGCTGGGGGAGCTGACAGTGACCGGCGCGACCCCAGACTCCCTACGCCTGTCCTGGACGGTGGCCCAGGGTTCCTTCGACTCCTTCATGGTCCAGTATAAGGATGTGCAGGGGCAGCCCCAGGCAGTGCCCGTTGAGGGGGATGAGAATGAGGTCACCATCCCCGGCCTGGAGTCCGACCGGAAGTATAAGATGAACCTCTATGGGCTTCATGGCAGGCAGCGTGTGGGGCCTGTGTCTGTGGTGGCCACCACTGGTGAGTCAGGGCCTCATGGGCCTCCCTCCCTGTCTGCCCCCAGTCGTGGCCCAGGGCTCCTTTGAACCACCCTCCACCTTCTCTTTCTCGGCTCCAATTCTGCCAAAGCCTCCACCCTCTGCTTCCCCACATCCCAGGACTTCTCATCCAGCCACCAGCCCCTCACCTCTTTCTCGGCCCTGCTTCTCCATCTCCAAGAACAGGTCCCATTTTCCCCATTCGGAGCACCTGGAATCATCCCCCACCCCCGGGCTGTCCTCCCCACAGATGTGCTGAGCCCCTGTGTTCTTTCCCCATGGTTTTTGCTGGGCTCCTTCCCCTACCATGATCTGGCTCAGCCGTGGTCATTTCTGAGCTTGGTCGCCTGCTACCCACACCGTCCTGCCTTTGCTGCTCCATTCAGAGCTGGCAGATCCAAGGGACAGGAGCACCATGCTTCCCAGCCTCTTTCTGGCATGAAGGGGACCCCTCCTGGCCCCCTAACCCCTGACTCTTAGCCAGCTTGGAGCAGGGCGGAGGACTCCCTCTCAGCGCCCCTGCCCCACATTCCTCCGTGTGCCCAGCCTCCCCCTGTCCAGTACCGTTTCCGAGGTTGTGTAGCATTGTTGTTGGGAGCATGGGCTCTGGAGCCAACTGCCTGGATTTTACTACCTCTGGGACCTTGTGCAAGTTACTGAACCTCTCTGTGCCTCCGCTTTCTCATATGTCAAATGGGAATAATAATGGTAACTGCTTCACAGAGTTGTTAGAATTAAATGAGTTAATGTGATCGAGCACTTAGAATAGTGCCTGGCACATCAAAACTGCTGTTTGGGAGTGAGCTGCTATTTCTCCCTGACCCTCACTTCCCAGGATCCTTTTTTTCTCCTCACCTCCCTACCTTCCCCATCCTCGCCTGGGTTGTCATTCTCGCCTGCTTCCTTCTCAGTCACCTGTCCCTTCATTAGTTCCCCATGGACTGGGGAGTGGGTCATAGAGGGCTGGACAGTCCCCCCACCCCATGGAGCCTCAGCAGAGACCTAGCTGCAGCAGACATGGTAGATGCCCTCAGGGCTGTGATTCTAGACCCAGCCAGGGAAGAGCATGGCCCTCTGCCCTCAAATCTTGCTCCCATTCTTGTCTGAAGCCCTGCCCTAGTGATTCATTCCTGAGGGTGAAAGGGGAGGGAGAGGCCAGGCTGTCTGGGGAGGCCTTAGCCAGAGCACATCCATCTCCTGTCCTGCTAAGCAGGGTGGGAGCAGCTTGAAAGCCCTGGGAGGGGCAGGAGGTGAAAGGGAGGAACATAGGTGGGAAGAGGCCTCACTGCCCCCTCATTTCCTGAGGTTCTGCACTGCCAGTGAGCACAGTATAGAAGAACTTCTCGGAGTTTCCTCTCTTCCCATCTCAGCTGCTTTCTCAGACATGAGGGGAGACCCACCCCCACAGAACCCACCAGTACAATCCTGCCTGCAGTACATGATGGGGATTAGCAGCCTGTATCCATTGATGCGTTACTGAATGGCTACTACAAAGGCTTCCCCGTCCCCGAAGCCTACGGCTTGAGGACTATATTTGCTGGATGTACTTTATTGTCATGATTAACGTCACCAGAAAAGCAAGTTACTCTTTAAGCTTGTATCCCCGTCTCTTCTCTCAGCCCCCCAGGATGTTGCGGATGAGACCCCCAGCCCCACTGAGGTGGAGACCCCCAGCCCCAAGGAACCCAGCACAGAGGCCCCGGAGCCCCCTGAGGAGCCCCTCTTGGGGGAGCTGACGGTGACAGGATCCTCCCCAGACTCGCTGAGCCTGTCCTGGACCGTCCCCCAGGGCCACTTTGACTTCTTCACTGTCCAGTACAAAGACAGGGACGGGCGGCCCCAGGCAGTGCGTGTCAGGGGCGAAGAGAGCGAGGTCACTGTTGGGGGCCTGGAGCCGGGGCGCAAGTACAAGATGAACCTGTATGGGCTGCAGGAGGGGCGGCGCGTGGGCCCTGTGTCCACAGTGGGCATTACTGGTGAGTGAAGACAGGGCCTGGTTCCTTTTCCTCCCACTGGTGGCCCTCAGCCTCCCTTTGGTGATTGTTCTCCTTTGCTGCAGTGGAAACACGAGGCCTCACCTGCTTGGGGAAGACCTAAAAGGAGCAGTTCACTGGGGACCGGGCTACAATCAGCTTGAGCAAGTTTTACACTTTCTGTGCCTCTGTTTCCTGGTCTGTAAAATGGGGATGATAACACCCACCTCATAAAACTGTTGTGAGGATTAAGTGAGTTAACAGACATAAAGCACTAAGAGTGGGCCTGGCGTGGAGTAAACATGCTGTCAGTGCTTGCTGCTATAATTAGTGTGATTACCCTTACTCTGGGGTCTGCTCTGTCCCATTTGGCTGATTAGATGGTCAGAATGAGCATGAGACATGGCCTTCTCATCAGTGCAGCTGGAAACTTCTTTACCGCTCATCCAGTGAGTGACTTTATAGCAAGGAGGAATATCCCCTCCACTCCCTCTTGGGTAGAGTACGGGGCCACCTCGGCCACCACAAAGGACCCAGCCTGGGCACCTCCTCTCCAGAGCCTCAGGGAGGGCCCAGGTCCCAGCCAGGCCTCTGGGCCCCTCCTGCTGACCTGCCCAGCCTGGTCACGGGGAGGGGCGTCTCTTTTCTCCTATGCTTACTGAGACCAAAACAACCTTTTTCAAAAACAACTTTTACTACTAGGAGAAAGATTAACAACTTAATAGCAGAGAAACAGATAGGGTTCCAGAGCATGATTTCTACTCTTCCACAAAGCCCAACCTTACAGCAACTTGGTTGGCTTAGTTTCCAGAGCCTTCCACCCCCAATTTCTTTTCTTTGCCTCACTGAAAGGAGGGAGAGGGTAAAGCCACTCTGCTGCGGGCCTGAAGTAGCGGGAGGGAGGCCCCTGCCAGGCCCAAGACATGCTGCCAGAGTTTCTCCTGGGGTGACCCTCTGTCCATCCGTCTGTCCTGGCAGTCCCACTGGGCTCTCTGAGGCCCTGTCCCTGGTCCCTGGGGAAGGATGGGCTGTGTCGGGCACTGACTGAGGCAGTGCGGTAGAGGAAAAGTGAGTTTTGGAATCTCACCGAGTTCCATTCCCGGCTTCCCCCATTCTTTGCTGTGTGATCTGGAGAAAGTTACCTTCTCTCCTAGAACCTCAGCTTCCTCATCTTCAAGATGGAGCAAACGACACCCCCCCCGTCATAAGGGTTAGAGGTGGGGATGTAACATGCCTGGTGCATTCTCTGCTCATTTCAACTTTCTGCTCAAACTCTCCTGCGGAGAAATCACTGTATATCTGTGTACAGATCCTGGACATTTTAAAACGTGTATTGTCCTGGATAAAAATGGATAAGTGGCCCTTTAAAAAAGAAACAAGCATGATGTTCATTATCAGAGCAGGAAAGGGATGGGGCAGCTGAGCCCACTGAGCTGACCAAGGGCTGCGCCTGGCACACAGCGCACGCTGTACCGTTGCCAGGAGAAGGAATGCGTGGAGCTAGTTAGAAACGTTTCTAAGTTGGAAAAGGATTTTCCCAAATGCAGCATGCAGACTGTCGCACTCATGGGTAGTTATAATCTCACAGTTCCCAGTTAAGCCAAACCACCAATAATAAGGCTTGATGGTGAGGGACAGTTTCTCCCTCATGGAAAGAGGTATAGAGAGGGCAAAAACAAGCAGGAAATGGATGCTATGGGAATTAACAGAGCTAGAAGGCAAATGAACTGGAATACCAGGCCTGGCCTGGCACCTGGTACCTAGTATGGCTGGTACCACCTGCTCGACACGTGCTGGTCACTCCTAGCCCCCTTCAGCTGCCTCCATCCCTGCCCTCCCTGCTCAGACTCATTTCCGTCTTCCTAAGGCCTCACCACCAGCCGGTTTTTCAAGCAGATATTATCTGTCTGGAGCCTAGTCTTGTCCTGCCGCAGGAGCCAGAGAAACAAGCTCTTGGGAACCCCACCCACCCAGCCACCCTCTCTGCCATTTTACCTCTTGGGACCACCTTCCAGGTTCAGTCCCTAATGAGGAGCACCTCCCAGTCTCAGCTCATTCTGGGGCGACAGGGACCTGCAGGTGTCCAGCTTGGCCTGTCCCAGCCCAGATGTGCAGACCACCCGTTAATTTAACAAGCATTTGTGGAGCACCCACTGGGGGCTGGGTACTGAGAACACAGCAGTGAACAAAACTGCCTGTGGCGCTCACATTCTAGCAGAGGGAGACAGGTACCACACTGCACACATACATCAGTGGTGCCGTATGTGACGGTGATGCGAGCTGGGGAGAAAAGCAAGGCCAGTAGGTGAGCTGGTGAGTGGGTGGGAAGGGGGTGGGAAAGGGTCTCGCTGAGGGAACACCTGAAGGGAGAGGACAAGCCACGTAGGCCTCTGGGGAAGAGCTTCCCGGGCAGAGGGAAGATGCCGCGATCATCTGTGGACCAGGAGGAATGTTCTGGAATGGGGGATGGTGGTGATGGGAGAGATGAGCATGTGGGACTTTGGAGGCCATTGTAAGGACTTGGCCTTTGCTCTGAGATGGAAGCCACTGCGGAAACAGGCTCTGACAAACTTGTTAACAGCAGGGAACAGAGCTAAGGGAGTGAGGGTGGAGGAGGGAGGTGATTTAGGAGACTGTTGTATAATCTAGTAAGAGCCGCTGGTGCTTGGAGATGGCAGCAGCAGAGTGGGTGAGGAGGGGTCAGATTCTGAAGGTAGTGCCAATAGGACTTACTCACAGGCCAGTTGTGGGGTATAAGAGAGGATTCGGGGATGACTCTGAGAATGAATTTGTGGTGTTGCTGAGGTGGGGACGCTGTGGGGGAGCCTCTGGGTTCAGTTTTGGACTTGTTGAGTTTGAGACATAGATTAGGCACCCAAGGAAGAGGCTGAGCAAACACAAGTCTGGGGGCTAGTGGGGAGGTCTGGATGGGGGCACTTGGAGCCATTGGTGTACAGATGGAAGTTCAGCTGCTTTCCCGGGGTCTCCATGATGGCTGACACCCCTCCTCCAAAGCACAGCCCCAGATCCTGGCAGGGACTTAGTGAAGGGTTGTGAACCGGAGAGATGTTGCCAATCGGTATAGAACCACCTCGTGGGCACCACAAAAACAACCACCTAGTTACTACCAAGGTAAAGAGGGGCTTCTCCTAACAGCCTCCCACCATCTCTGTCTCAGCTGCGCAACCAGAAGAAGAGTCTCCTCCAGCCACAGAGCCCCCGCTGGAGCCACGCCTGGGGGAGCTGACAGTGACGGATGTGACTCCCAACTCTGTGGGCCTCGCGTGGACAGTCCCTGAGGGCCAATTCGACTCCTTCATGGTCCAGTACAAGGACAGGGACAGGCAGCCCCAGGTGGTGCCTGTGGCTGCAGACCAGCGTGAGGCCACAGTGCCTAACCTGGAGCCTGCACACAAATACAAGATGAACTTCTACGGGCTACATGGTGGGCAGCGTGTGGGCCCCCTCTCTGTGGTAGCTGTGACAGGTGAGTGAGGGGGGTGAGGCAGTCCCCATCCCTGGTTACCCAGAGTCCCCTTCCATAACCCCTCTCTCAGATCCTGCCTCAGTGACCCCCCAGGTCCTTCTCAAGGTCACAGGCATCTTAGTCTGTACCTTGACTCCTTGGCTCCCCACTCAGGCTGGAACCTTCCCTGCCCTCACGTCCCCATCTCTACTCCACCCCCTCCCCCAGGCAGAAATGTCTTCCTTCCATCTGACCTAAATCCATCCTCAGACCCTCTCTGTCTCTCCCTCTCTGATTGTCCACAGCTGTTTCCTCCCCTTCTCTTTACAACCCTGCTGTGACTTGGAGACAGCTGCCACCTCCCCCTACTGCCCTTTTTTATTGGGGTTAAACAATACACATCCCTTGAATCTCTTCTCAGAGGCCCTCAGCCCCTGGCCTGAGCTGCATTCCCTTCTGGCCTACTGAGTCTTCCTCCCTCCAGGAAGTGGCCCTTGCTCTGGGCTCCTGGCTCCTTCCCACCCCTCGTGGCTTCCTAGGTACAGGTTTCCACCATTTTTGTGCCACGGTGTCTAGTGAAACCCATAGACTGCTCTCAGAGCAATGTTTTAAAATCTATAATATAAAATGCATAGAATTACAAAGGAAACCAATTATATTGAAATACAATTATCAAAATACTTTTATTTATTTATTTTTTTGGTGAGGAAGATTAGCTCTGAGCTAACATCTGTTACCAATCCTCCTCTTTCTTTGCTGAGGACGATTGGCCCTGGACTAACATCCATGCCCATCTTCCTCTACTTTGTATGTGGGACGCCTGCCACAGCATAGCTTGATAAGCAGTGCGTAGGTCCGCACCCAGGATCCAAACCTGCGAACCCGGGCCGCCGAAATGGGAGCATGCAAACTTAACCACTGTGCCACTGGGCCGGCCCCTCAAAATACTTTTAAATTCAAATTTATGATTTAGTAATACAGGAACTTCTTTATTAGTTCATGAAATAACAAGACTTAGTGGCATGTGTAATAACCTACCCACATTTAGAAGTAGTGAGAAGTGTAAACGGTATTTTGAAGTTTCTGCAATAATTCTAAGAGGATGTGAAAACATCTGTGATTCCTACTGGTGACAAAGTGACAGGTACTGCTAGAAGCACCATGGTTGGTTTCCTAATTTATCACTGAGGGAAATGCTACGTTTCAGTTAGAGGTCAGAGAAACTAAAGATGTAACTGTTTCCCATCTTAGTTCAAGGCCCCCTGGAGGCCCTCGGAGCCCAGGAGCCTGGTGAGGGGGGAGTTCTGCCAGAGATCTCAACCGTGTTCTTTGTCTTCCCGGATCCTAGCTCCCCTCCCCACAGCCCCATCCACAGTGTCCCCCCAAGAGCCGCGCCTGGGGGAGCTGACAGTGACGGATGTGACCCCGGACTCCGTGGGCCTCTCGTGGACAGTCCCCGAGGGCGAATTCGACTCCTTCGTGGTCCAGTACAAGGACAGGGACGGGCAGCCCAAGGTGGTGCCTGTGGACGCAGACCAGCGCGAGGCCACCGTCCCCGGCCTGGAGCCCAGTAGGAAATACAAGTTCCTGCTCTTTGGGATCCAGGACGGGAAACGACGCAGCCCAGTCTCTGTGGAGGCAAAGACGGGTGAGAGGGACCCCCGGGAAGCTGAGCCTGAGGCCCCAGCCTTCTGCCCTTCTTCACACTCCTGATCTCCACTCCCTTCTGCAAGGCCTCTGCTTTGTCCGCGTCTTCTGTTTCATTCAGAAAACCGTAGTGCTTACCCTTGTCCAAGGCAGATAAGAACCAGGAAAATGGGGCCAGTTTCTGGATCTGCTCCCCCTGCTGAGTTTTCCTCTCTTCTCATAATTCCTACTTCTGTTGAATGAGAGAAGCTCCTTCAGACCCCTTCCTGGAAGGTAGAACATGGGAAGTTGGGGGTTCTGGGAAAGGGGGTGAAGGGAGCCAGGAGCCCTTCCCGCCTCCCTGGGCCTTGCGGGTCCCCCGCTCTTTGTAGCCATCACCTCCTGCGAGTTTTGCCGTCTGTCCTCTGACTCTCACCCAGTTTCTCACCCTACTGGCTCAGGCCCATCGGGTCCCATATCTGCCTCCCCAAGAGGACTGCTTTCCTCCTCTGCTCTCCTCCTGGATCCTCAGAATATGGGGACCAGAGGACCCCAGTGCTGGCTGCCCAGCCAGGCCCAGTCGGGCCCAATCCAGCTGTGCCCCTTTCCTAGGTTTTGGTCCAGGCCCTCCCCTGCCCTTGGGGGCTCCCTGTTGCCAGAAAACTCTCACAATAACAATGCCGTCAGTGTCCTCGCTGTCCAGGAAGGCAGCAGGCCAGCTCCTTCTCAGGCCTCGGGATGGCTCCTTGAGCAGACACGAGATCCTCTCCTCGTCTGAGCTCCCCTTCTTCTCCCCTTACCCCCCAACACACATAGGCAGCCCCCACTTTTCCACCAGGTCCTGTGAGGGTCTCCTGCATTATAATATCCTGCCTCCTCATCTGCTCTCTGCCCCCATCAGGGATCCTGTGCCCCCTCTGATGTCCCCAGGACCCTCAGATTTCCCCAGGGGCCAGTCAAATCACAAAGAGTAGGCTCCTTGGTAAAAGGAAATAAACAGACCAAGTCTGTGATAAGCTGTACCCTGTTAAGGAAATAGTCTCTAGGTGGGAAGAGTCTGAACAGCAAGAGGAATAAGATAAGCAGGAAACTAGGGAATCTGTTTTTCCAGAGGTGTCTCAGGACAGAAGACCTCTCCGTGCATTAGTGGAGTGGGCAGAGGCAGGGGCCAGTTGGGGTTGGTGGCAGGGATGGGAGTCTGATGGAAATATTTTGGGGAAGCACTGAGCATTCGGGCAGTTCTGGGTTTTTCCAACTCAGCAGGAGGCAGTCGAGGAGTCACTTTGGAAAAAAATAAACACAAGGTCCTTTTCTCTCTGTCAGCTGCCCAAGGTGACGCCAGCCCAGGGGCCCCACCCCGCCTCGGGGAGCTGTGGGTGACAGACCCCACCCCAGACTCAGTGCGCCTCTCCTGGACAGTCCCTGAGGGCCACTTCGACTCCTTTGTGGTCCAGTTCAAGGACAGGGATGGGCCCCGGCTGGTGCCCGTGGAAGGCCATGAGCGCGCGATCACCATCAGCCCTCTGGACACCGGCCGCAAGTACAGATTCCTCCTCTACGGCCTCCTGGGCAAGAGACGCCACGGCCCCCTCACTGCAGATGGCACCACAGGTGAGGGCTTCCCCTGCAAGGCCCAGCTCTGCCCCTGGAGACTCTTGGGGAAGGTGTTGGGCACCCTGCCAGGCCAGGGCAGCAGGTAGTCACTTGTGGTGGCTGCCATCACAGTTGTTATTTGGCCCCGGCCACCCCGGCTGGGATCCAGCCCCCGCTTCTCCTTGCACAAGCTCATAGCACCAGCCCTGCGGGACTCAGCCATGGCAAAGCCCTGTCCCTAGACCTCTCTGTCCAGCCCTTTGAGGTCACTCAGCCTTCTAAAAACAGCTCAGCCATTTCTTCTCTGTGTCTTTGTCTCAGAGACCCAGAGTACTATGGATGAAGCTGGAACAAAACGTCCCCCAAAACCCCGTCTCGGGGATGAGCTGCAGGTGACCAGCGTGACACCAGACTCCGTGGACCTCTCCTGGACAGTCCCTGAGGGCCAGTTTGACTCCTTTGTGGTCCAGTACAAGGACAGGGATGGGCAGCCCCAGGTGGTGCCTGTGGAGGGCAGCCTCAGGGAGGTCAGAGTCTCAGGCCTGGACCCTGCCCGCAAGTACAAGCTGCTGCTCTACGGGCTGCACCAGAGCAGGCGTGTGGGTCCCGTCTCCGCCATTGCTGTGACTGGTGAGTGCAGCTGCGGCCAGAACAGGCTGCTCTTCCTTCCCGCCTGGCTGTCCTGTCCTGACTGAACCACATGATTTCTGAGCTTCCTATTTCCCTTCTTTTGGGGGAAGGGATCAGCTTAATGGAGGCATAGGTTACATATGATAAAATTCACCCATTAAGGGAATAATTCAATGAGTTTTGGCAAACATATAAGTCATGAAATCATTACCACAACTGAGATATAAAACATTTCCATGGATCTGAAAAGTTTCCCTCTGGCCCTTTGCGGTCATTTCCCCCAACCCCAGCCTCTGGCAACCACTGATTATTTCTATCATTACAGTTTTGCGTTTTTAAGCATTTCATTTAACAGAATCATACAATACATGGTCTTTTGTGTTTGGCTTCTTGCACTTAGCATAAGGCTTTTGAGATTTATCCCTGTGTATCAGTAGTTGGTCCTTTTTATTACTGACCTCTTGCCTTCACCTCCTTCCCTCCTTCCCTCCTCTTGGAGAGTCTTGGTGCTGCTGCAACAAACCAGTCACCCGTCTCTACCTGTCTCTCTGAATCAGCCCCCAGGGAAGAAATTGAAGCTGAGACCATGGCCCCAAGCCCTCCAGTGTCTGAGCCCCACCTTGGCGAGCTGACCCTGGAGGAGGCCACGCCGCACACCCTGCATCTCTCCTGGACTGTGATTCAGGGAGAATTTGACTCCTTTGAGGTCCAGTACGCAGACCAGGATGGGCGACTCCAAGTAGTCAGTTTAGAGGGCAACCAGAATGACATCACCCTCTCTGGCCTGGAATCTGACCACAGATACCTGGTGAACCTGTACGGTATCCATGGCCAGCAGCGTGTGGGTCCTGCTCACATAGAGGCCCTGACAGGTGAGCAAAAGAAATCTGCCCCCTCTGCTTCCTTCCAGACAGCCGTGAGAGCCTGGAGCAGAGCACAGTCCCCAGGGACACCCTGCCCCTCTCTCAGGTCCTTCTCTCTCTCTCTGTCTCTGTTCAGTCCCAAGGGAGGAGGAGGATGAACCTTCAGAACCTCCCACTATGACCCCCGAGCCTCCCATCAAGCCACGCCTGGGGGAGCTGGCAGTGACAGACGCCACTCCCGACTCCCTGGGCCTCTCCTGGACAGTCCCCGAGGGCCAGTTTGACCACTTCCTGATCCAGTACAAGAACGGAGACGGGCAGCCAAAGGCGGTGCGGGTACCAGGGCATGAGGACTGGGTCACCATCACAGGCCTAGAACCAGACCAGAAGTACAAGATGAACCTGTATGGCTTCCACAGTGGCCAGCGTGTGGGCCCTGTCTCTGTCATCGGGGTGACGGGTGAGTGGACAGTGGAAGCCCCAGGGTGGGACCCAGCGGGAGGATCACCCTCTCTCTGGTGATGGGTGAGTGGGGTACAGGAAGCCCTCTGCTCAAGGCTGAGCCATGGGGCCTTTTCTGCCCCCCAACCCCCAGCTCCCCGAGGACCAATGGATCCTCCTGGGCAGAAAAGGGCCGCCCTGAGCTGTGCTGGTGGCTGCACTGGTCCCCACAGCTGACCACAGAGGCTCCGGGCATGTTTGTGAGGTGTGGATGGAGTAGGACCACCCAGCCTCCTTAGGCTCCTCTGAAGTGACTTCAGGGCCCCCAGGCAGGGCCACGGCTTGGGAGAAGACCCAAGGACATCTCTGGGGACCCTGCCTCACCCTCTCTGTGTCTCTCCTTCTCAGCTGCAGAGGAAGAGACCCCCAGCCCAATGGAACCCAGCACAGAGGCCCCGGAGGCCCCCGAGGAGCCCCTCCTGGGAGAGCTGACAGTGACAGGATCCTCCCCAGACTCGCTGAGCCTGTCCTGGACCATCCCCCAGGGCCACTTCGACTTCTTCACTGTCCAGTACAAGGACAGGGACGGGCGGCCCCGGGTGGTGCGTGTTGGGGGTGAGGAGAATGAGGTCACCATTGGGGGCCTGGAGCCGGGGCGCAAGTACAAGATGAACCTGTACGGCCTGCATGAGGGGCAGCGCGTGGGCCCTGTATCCACCGTGGGCGTGACGGGTGAGTGACTGCTAAAGGGCCCTCGGGGTTGGGTATCAAGAAAGGTCTCATTAGTGGAGCCTCCAGAGTCTCCTCTACTGGAGACGCAGCATCCTAAAACCCCCAAACCTCTAACCCACCCATTGTCCATTAACACTTCAGGACAAGTGTGATCTGGGGGCAGGAAGAGCGAGTCCCAGGGAAGTGCCAGGCCTGTCTGAGAGAGGCCCTGGGGGACTGAGGCCTCCAAGACAGTAATGCACTGACCCATCTATGGCTCTCTGCTTTGCCTGGGAACTTTGGAAACAGGTCTTTTTTGAGGTTGGGACAAATGCCATGAAATATTAATTCACTCATTCAACAAATAGTTATTATATAAAGAATTGTATAATGAGCTCCCATGTATCCATCACCTTGCCTCAACCAAATATCGACCCCGGGCCAGTCTGACTCATCCATAGCCACTCCTCCCTGCCCTCCCCCACTGCAGTGTTTTCTGTATTACCAGCTTTATTGAGGTATAATGTACATATCATAAAATTTACCTGTTTTAAGTATATAACTTTTTAGTAAATTTACAGAGTTGTGCAACTATCACCACTATCTACTTTTAGAACTTTTCCATCACCCCAAGAAGAAACCTGCTGTCCAGACCCTTTCCCACACCCAGTTCCAGGCCACCACTATTCTATTTCCTATCTTTGTAGATTTGCCTTTTCTGGACATATCATACAGATGGTATTATATCATTTGTGTCTGACTTCTCTCACCGAGCATGTTTTTGAGGTTCATTCATGTTGTAGCGTGCAGTAGTACTTCATTCCTTTATAGCCAAATACTATTCCACTGTATGGCTAAACCCCTGTGATTTTTTTTGTGTGTGTGTGTGAGGGAGATCAGCTCTGAGCTAACATCCGTGCTAATCCTCCTCTTTTTGCTGAGGAAGACAGGCTCTGAGCTAACATCTATTGCCAATCCTCCTCGTTTTTTTCTTCCCCAAAGCCCCAATAGATAGTTGTATGTCATAGTTGCACATCCTTCTAGTTGCTGCATGTGGGACACGGCCTCAGCATGGCCAGAGAAGCGGTGCATCAGTGCGCACCCGGGATCTGAACCCGGGCCGCCAGTAGCGGAGCACGCGCACTTAACCGCTAAGCCACCGGGCTGGTCCCCACTGTGATATTTTAAAACTCATCAAGACACTCTATACTTCATCACAACGTGTAAGTATATTACTCTTTTTAAAGAGACTATTTTAAAGTAACCACAATACGATGTTTGTACCTTTAAATATGAACAATCATCCCTTAATACCATCAGGTCTGCAGGTAGTGCTGCTGTTTCCTAATTGTCTTATAATTGTTTTGCCTTTTTGTTGCTGGAATCGGGTCAAAATAAGGATAGGATGCAATTGGAAGATTTAGAATCTTAAATAGGGAGGTCAGGGCAGTTCCCAAAGAGAAGGTGACATTTGAACAAAGACTTGAAATGTGGACATGAGCCATGCAGACATCTGAGGAAAGAACATTCAGACAGAGGGAACTGTTAGTGCAAAGGCCCTGAGGTAGGAGGCTGCCTGGCACATTTGACAGACCATAAGGAGGCCACAAAAAGACTTTGATGATTATAAACAGAAATGGATCTTAGATTAAGCCCACAGAGCCAATCCACCTTCTGGCTTGAATCCCGGAGAGTGGGGCCACAACAACGCCTTCCAGCAATAGGAGAGATTCTGTTTGCATCTCTTCCCAGCTCCCAAAGAAGAGCCCCCTGCCAGCACCCTTTTGAAGCCGCGCCTGGGGGAGCTGACAGTGACAGACGCCACCCCCGACTCCCTGGGCCTCTCCTGGACAGTCCCCGAGGGCCGCTTTGACCACTTCCTGATCCAGTACAAGAACGGGGACGGGCAGCCCAAGGTGGTGCGGGTGCCAGGGCACGAGGATGGAGTCACCGTCACAGGCCTGGAGCCAGACCAGAAGTACAAGATGAACCTGTACGGCTTCCACGGAGGCCAGCGTGTGGGACCCGTCTCCACCGTTGGTTTAACTGGTGAGTTGCAGTAGGACACTGGGCCCTACCCTGAGCTGGACTCAGTTTCCCTCTCTTTGTCAGTGTTCAGGTGTTTTTGTCCCACTGTCCCTGAAAATGAGCCCCTCCCACAAGCTCCTGGGAGCGGTTCTGCTCATGTCTTTACTCCAAGCCTTTGGTGTCACCTCAGCTGTCTTACCCTTTACGTGTGGGCTTTTGGGGTCTTTGAAGAGACAGGCCACCAGAGAACTAACACAGACTCGGGCAGACCTGGGGCTGACCCTAGCCTCAGCCCATTTGTGCCGTGTGACCTTGAGAGAGTCACTCAGCCTCTCTGTGCCTCCCTTTCCTCGTCTGTAAAGAAGGAATAACCACACCTGTCTTGTAGGGTGGGCCTGAGTGTGGCTCAACTCTAACATGATGTTCAGTAACTACAGGCTTCCCTTTCTGAAGAAGAAAATTATTTCCTGAAACCCCCCGGGGGGAATTCTCATAATTCTCATTGATTTCAGTGGGTAAAATTGTATGTGTTTCCCAGCCCCCAAATTGATACTCATTCATGCTAAGTCAACACTGAATCCTGCTGACATGGATACTGTTACTTCCAGAGTTAATATTAGTCAGATGTGCAACGTAACAGGTGCTTTCCCTTTGTGAATTACTCCCTAACAGGGCTGCTGTCCCTTTGTGAAGTAGCTCTGTTGTACCTGTCACCTCCTAGATGCTTAAGACCCAGTTCCAACACAACAGACAGATGGACATGAGGATTTTGTAATTCAACTATAAAGCAGAATAAAACCCCACAGAACAGAAAACAAAGCAGACGACTCCACACATGCCTAACAAGCCCGTCGCTGGGGCCGAGATGGGTCGTCTCCACCGTCAGGTAGCAGGAGAACTAGTACAAGGTCCGAAAAGGACCCAGTTGCAGAGATGAGCTCGTGTGGTCTGATCTCTGCCCTCAACTGTGAAATCTAAAGTGGTTTCTGAAAATGCTCAGAGGAACCTTCTAAACCAGAGGTGGTATTATGGGACAACACACATGGAGTGGAACTCCCGAAGCTGAGTGGACGGACTCCCTGATGTGACTCATCTGTTATGCTCGGTGGTGTTATAAAGCCTTGCTTCTGGCCCACTACACAAATTCAGTCTGAAGCCCCAAGGGTTTAGTGCCTGCACCATTGAGTGTCATGGGGGTCCCACCCTACCATCACGATGTCCCACAGTGTGCTCTGTCCCCTGGTAGCTAAGCATTCACAGTGGGGAGATGATGTCTCAACCGTGGGGCACTGGCATCCAGGCTGCAGGGCCCTGGTGTGTCTGGCAGAAATCCCAGAATCCCCTGCTAGAAGGGAACCCACAAGGCATGTCCACACATTCTGTTTGTCTCCTGATCCAGCCCCAGAAACAGACCAGGAAATGACCCCAGCTCCAACAGACCCACCCACCACGACCTCTGAGCCTCCCATCAAGCCCCGCCTGGGGGAGCTGGCAGTGACAGACGCCACCCCCGACTCCCTGGGCCTCTCCTGGACAGTCCCCGAGGGCCACTTTGACCACTTCCTGATCCAGTACAAGAACGGGGATGGGCAGCCCAAGGCGGTGCGGGTGCCAGGGCACGAGGACGGGGTCGCCATCACAGGCCTGGAGCCAGACCAGAAGTACAAGATGAACCTGTACGGCTTCTACGGCGGCCAGCGCGTGGGCCCCATCTCTGTCATCGGGGTGACGCGTGAGTGGACACTGGAATCCCCAGGGTGGGACCCAGCGGGAGGATCACCCTCTCTCTGGTGATGGGTGAGTGGGGTACAGGAGGCCCTCTGCTCTAGGCTGAGCCATGGGGCCCTTTCTGCCCCCCTACCCCCAGCTCCCTGAGGACCAGTGGATCCTTCTGAGCAGAGAAGGGCTGCCCTGAGCTGTGCTGGTGGCTGCCCTGGTCCCCACAGCTGACCACAGAGGCTCTGGGCATGTTTGTGAGGTGTGGACAGAGCAGGACCACCCAGCCTCCTTACGCTCCTCTGAAGTGACCTCAGGGCCCCCAGGCAGGGCCATGGCTTGGGAGAAGACCCAAGGACATCTCTGGGGACCCTGCCTCACCCTCTGTATGTCTCTTCTTCTCAGCTGCAGAGGAAGAGACCCCCAACCCAACGGAACCCCGCACAGAGGCGGAGCCCCCCGAGGAGCCCCTTCTTGGGGAGCTGACGGTGACAGGATCCTCCCCAGACTCGCTGAGCCTGTCCTGGACCATCCCCCAGGGCCACTTTGACTTCTTCACTGTCCAGTACAAGGACAGGGACGGGCGGCCCCAGGTAGTGCGTGTCCAGGGTGAGGACAGCAAGGTCACCGTTGGGGACCTGGAGCCGGGGCGCAAGTACAAGATGAACCTGTATGGCTTCCACGGCGGCCAGCGCGTGGGCCCCGTCTCTGTCATTGGAGTGACAGGTAAGTGGATGGTGGAAGCCCCAGGGTGGGACCCAGAGGGAGGATCACCCTCTCTCTGATGATGGGTGAGGTGCAGGAGGCCCTTGGCTCGAGGCTGAGCCATGAGGCCCTTTCTGCCCCTCTCTGACCCCTGGGTTCCCGAGGACAAATGGGTCCTCCTGGGCAGAGAAGGGCCGCCCTGAGCTGTGCTGGTGGCTGCCCCGGTTCCTCACAGCTGACCCCAGAGGGGCATGTTTGTTAGGTGTGGACCAAGCAGCACCACCCAGCCTCCTTAGGCCCCTCTGAAGTGACCTCAGGGCCCCCAGGCAGAGCCACGGCTTGGGAGAAGATCCAAGGACATCTTCTGGGGACACTGCCTCACCCTCTCTGTGTCTTTCCTTCTCAGCTACAGAGGAAGAAACCCCCAGCCCCACAGAAGTGGAAGAGACCCCCAGCCCCACGGAACCCAGCACAGAGGCCCCGGAACCCCCCGAGGAGCCCCTTCTTGGGGAGCTGACGGTGACAGGATCCTCCCCAGACTCGCTGAGCCTGTCCTGGACCGTCCCCCAGGGCCACTTTGACTTCTTCACTGTCCAGTACAAGGACAGGGATGGGCGGCCCCAGGTGGTGCGTGTTGTGGGTGAGGAGAATCAGGTCACCATTGGGGGCCTGGAGCCGGGGCGCAAGTACAAAATGAACCTGTATGGACTGCATGAGGGGCAGCGCGTGGGCCCCATGTCCACCGTGGGCATGACCGGTGAGTGAGGGCTCAAGGGTGTCCGAGGAGAACCACGTTTTCCTCCTGTGTGACCCTGTTGACTGTTCTGCTTTTTCACCAGCCCCTGAGGATCCATGCCTGTCTCCCCTTTCATGCTCTCCCTCCAGGGCCCAAGCCCAGTGATTTGGCCTTTGCCAGCCTGCAGCCTCATCGTCCACACTTGGAGCCTCCTTGTGATGGTCGACCACTGGCCACCTCTGAGGGTGCCGTGTCTCAGGCACAGCCAAGCCTGACTTTACCAGAATTTGCTTCTCTTTCCATCTTAATCACAGCATTCTTTGTTATAACTACAGACATACAAAAAAGAAACAACCCAACATCTAACTACACTGAGATATTAAATAATTAGGCAACATCTCTAAGCTATTATGCCATCATTGAAATGTTTTAACATAAGACAGTTACTTCATAATATTACGTTGAAAAAAGAGCCTGTAAGTTTTATAAGGATGCTAATCACAACCACCTGAAAATAACATGCATGGGAAGAAAACTGGAAGGAAACACATCCCATGGGTGCATGGTTTGTGGGACAGAATAGAATGTTCCAGCACTTTTTTTTTCTGTTGTATTCTATGGTATCCAAATTCTCTTAAACGACAAGCGTTTCTTTTATAATCAGGAAACAGTTTTTTTAATATAATATCTTCTCCTCCCTTGTACTCCTTGTCTTTTCCCCCCATCACTCTTGCAACTTATTTCATTTCTAATTATGAAAAACTTTCAATTTCTGGTCCCTAAAAAATTGGGAAAAACATCACAAGGTGTATTAAATTCCAAAAACGCAGTTAGGCTGCCTTTTCTAAGTCCTCGTCAGCCAGAATCTTATGCCTGTGTGAGTGTTACACAAGGGCTCCTCTGGACGTGGACCCAACCCCTTGAGGGTCAATGTTTCAGAGGGCGGGTCACTGCCTCTGTGACACCAAGTGAGTGGCTTTGTGAGGTTTACTCTCCTGTCCTGAAGACACTTCGGACAGAGGAACCGTTTTCACTCAGCCTTCCTGACTCCTGGGGGATGGGCCTTATTTCTACGTGTTCACGGGAAGAGGGGGAGAGGGCAATCATTAGAAAATGGACATTAGTGTATTTCACACCCTGAAGGTAGCTGTTAATTCTCATCCACTGTTCAGTTCTTTTTACTCTCCAGCTTGGCAAATCACAAGCATATACACAGTAAGAGGGCAGTAGAAGGGATCCTTGTTCCCACTCCACATCCCCAACTGGATTATTAATTTTTATTATTGAAGATTTGTTTCTAAGCCTACATTTTTCTAGTGAAAAAAATATAGCAACAGGATGGAAAGTTTGAAAAACAGGAAAAAAATCTCTCATCAGACCACCTTTTGACCTGATAATTGTCATTAATAACAATGTGCATAATACATCCTCTTTTTCTGCATTTTCCATACCGTGCGTGTTTTATAGCTGCAGAGTGTTCATGTAATTCTTGGCTCTTACTTTTTGTGTACGCAAGTTACATCGTGAGCATTTATTGTGTGGCTGTACAATCTGCATCAATCATCATTTTAACGGTTGGTTGATGCTTCACAGTGAAAGTGTCATAACAAAATTAACCATCTTCTCTGGGTCCTTTGGATCCCTGACACATTCTGCTGTCATGAATAATCCCATGATGAACTCCCATGACACAACTTTTTCCTGCTTTTTAATAATTTTCTTAGGATAGCTGCCCAGAAATGGGATTATTGGGTCAAAGGAAATGAGCATTATTTTGGCTCCAAATTGCCTTCTGAAGCTTTGTGGTGCCTGCCAGCCAGGACCTGATGGCGGCTGGGAGGCTGTCTCAGCCCTCGCCGTCAGTCAGTTACCGAATGGCTGATCCAAAGGCTATGTGAGCCCTAGGGGTATATTGGCTGGATGCACTTTGTTCTCTCTATTGACGTCACTAGCAAGGCAAGTCGATGTCTAAGTCTGTATCCCCATCTCTTCTCTCAGCCCCCCAGGAGGAGGACACCCCCAGCCCCACAGAAGTGGAGGAGACCCCCAGCCCCACTGAGGTGGAGGAGACCCCCAGCCCCATGGAACCCAGCACAGAGGCACCGGAGCCCCCCAAGGAACCCCTTTTTGGGGAGCTGACGGTGACAAGATCCTCCCCAGACTCGCTGAGCCTGTCCTGGACCATCCCCCAGGGCCACTTCGACTTCTTCACTGTCCAGTACAAGGACAGGGATGGGCGGCCCCAGGGGGTGCGTGTCAGGGGTGAGGAGAGCGAGGTCACCATTGGGGGTCTGGAGCCGGGGCGCAAGTACAAGATGAACCTGTATGGCTTCCACGGCGGCCAGCGCGTGGGCCCCGTCTCTGTCATCGGGGTGACGGGTGAGTGGACGGTGGAAGCCCCAGGGTGGGACCCAGCGGGAGGATCACCCTCTCTCTGGTGATGGGTGAGCGGGGTGTAGGAGGCCCTCTGCTCAAGGCTGAGCCATGGGGCCCTTTGTGCCCCCCAATCCCCAGCTCCCTAAGGATCAAGGGGTCCTCCTGGGCAGAGAAGGGCTGCCCTGAGCTGTGCTGGTGGCTGCCGTGGCTCCTCACACTGACCCCAGAGGCTCCAGGCAAGTTTGTGAGGTGTGGACCAAGCAGCACCACCCAGCCTCCTTAGGCTCCTCTGGACTGACCTCAGGGCCCCCAGTCAGAGCTACGGCTTAGGAGAAGACCCAAGGACATCTCTGGGGACCCTGCCTCAGTCTCTCTCTGTCTCTTCTTCTCAGCTGCAGAGGAAGAGACCCCCAGCCCCACAGAAGTGGAGGAGACCCCCGGCCCCACAGAACCCAGCACAGAGGCTCCAGAGCCCCCCGAGGAGCCCCTCCTGGGGGAGCTGATGGTGACAGGATCCTCCCCAGACTCACTGAGCCTGTCCTGGACCATCCCCCAGGGCCACTTTGACTTCTTCACTGTCCAGTACAAGGACAGGGACGGCCGGCCCCAGGTGGTGCGTGTCAGGGGTGAGGAGAGCGAGGTCACCATTGGGGGCCTTGAGCCGAGGCGCAAGTACAAGATGAACCTGTACGGCCTGCATGAGGGGCAGCGCGTGGGCCCGGTGTCCACCGTGGGCGTGACGGGTGAGTGAGGGCGGGGGCGGGGCAGAGTGGGGAAGACAATCCCTAGAAGACTTTCCCTTTATTACCATCTTCATGGAAACATAAGTATTCTCGACAACATGTCTTTTGCACATCACATGGCCTGGGGATCTTGTTAAAGGGCAGATTCAGATTCAGCAGCTTTCGGCTGGGACCAGAGATTCTGCATTTCTAACATTTCTAACAAGATCCTCTGTGATGCTGATGCTGCTGGTCCAAGGACTACACTTTGAGTAGCAAAATTCCTCACAACAAAAGAATTGGATATTTTTCTTAGAATTTGTTAGAGAGATTTGTACTTGCTTCCCTGATTCCTCACAGAGGCTCAGCCTCTATGTAGTTGACTGGAGGCTGTGAAGGAAGACGGAAGGTGCTCAATGCAGCGTCTTCACTGAAAGACCCCCAAACCTCGTGGTTCAAGAATTACCAGACTTATGACTCCAATGGGTCAACAAAGATGTGGGTGCCCTGAGCCAAGCACTGTGGGAGTTCACTGGGGTAAACCTTGAGTGTGGCAGAGAGACAAGTTCTTATCCTAATGGGGCTCACAGTCATGGGGAGACAGGCTGTGGACCAGCAAATCAGGCAAAGGGCCATGTGTGTATGACAAGAGCCCCAGGGCCAGGCCGAGACTAGCAGCATTGCCTAAGCCAGCTTGCTCACGTGTACCCACAGGACAACTGAGACCTGAGGTCAGGCAAGTGTTAGCTTGGTGACAGCTAGATATGGGATAAAGAGTGTGTCAGACCAACGTCACAGCTGGTGCAAAGGCCTGGAAACTAGGAACATCATGGCACATGAGAGGAATTGAGACGATTTTGTATGAAATCCTTTGAGTTGGGGAGATAGTCTTGATGGGGGTGGAAAGGTAGGGACAGCTCAGGAAGCCAGGGATTTCTCCCAGGAAAAAAGAGGGTTGAGCACAGTTTTAAGCTAAGATTGATACCATCAGATATGCATTTCAAGGCTCATTCTGGCTGCCCTGTGAAGAACAGATGTGAGAGGGATGCAGGGAGGTAGTAATGCAGGTAAGAGGTGAGGGTGGCCCAACCAGGATGGTGGGGCTGCAGGTGTAGGCAGTGAGGACATTCAAAGGGAACTTAGGAGACAGAGTTGGACACTCTGAGTCCCATGGCAGATGGGGACAGGAACAGGTCCCGGAGGACTCCCAAGTTTCTGGTCGGGGAACGGGGGTTCTTAGCAGTTGGGAGCAAACACATGAGCCAAAGGGAGTGAGATGCCAACAAGACCCCAGCAGAGGGAGACCCAGGGGACAGTGGCCACATGGGCCTGGGTTCAGAGGAGAGGTGGCTGCTAGAGATAAGGGGAGAGGTCACGGTGCTGTTGGCAGGTGGTAGGGGAAGGCAGGGATGGATGAGGTTGAGGCGATAGGAATGCTGACATTAAAGGGACCAGAGAGAATAGATGAGTTAGAGCCACTGTGGACAGCACATTCTGCTCTTTATTTTTGTAAAACCTCTTTATCTGCTGCACTGAGGAGACCACAGCTGTCCCCAAATGTTTCTGTCCAGCTCCAGACTATGAAGCTATGACCACCGAAGCCCCACCCACCGTGGCCCCCAAGCCTCCCATCAAGCGGCGCCTGGGGGAGCTGAAAGTGACAGACGCCACCCCCGACTCCCTGGGCCTCTCCTGGACAGTCCCCGAGGGCCGCTTTGACCACTTCCTGATCCAGTACAAGAACGGGGACGGGCAGCCCAAGGTGGTGCGGGTGCCAGGGCACGAGGATGGAGTCACCGTCACAGGCCTGGAGCCAGACCAGAAGTACAAGATGAACCTGTACGGCTTCCACGGAGGCCAGCG